TGATTTGAATACATACTAGTGTGGATGGGGTGTAATGATTATGCAGGATTACTCAAACATGTGTGAATGAAACAAAAGACAACTCCAGGTCTGTTGTTTGATGAGGGAACAGCGTTATAACTTGGCCTAAAGCTCACAACAGTCAGTTTAGCGTAAAATAGGAGCTTTAATGGTAATATAATGATCTTGTCTTCACTCCTCCTCTTTGATTCACTCTTTGTCTTTAGTTCTGTGGAATTCTCCTTCAGACTGGGGGTCAGAGCAGCTCCCAGCCGCTCAAGGATTTAGCGGGATTTATGTTCTTCTCGGAGGGCAGACATTGTTCAAAACTTAAAAAGGAGGAGTTACAAAAGAGAGACTGCAGCTAATTCTCCTTTCACTGACTTCAGGAGGCGAGCCCTGCGCACACCACTGTACACGGGGTTTACTCTTTCATTATACAGGGATAAAACTCCAAGATTGATGGGGAAGTGGAAGTAAAAAGATGATTTTCAAAACGTTGGTGGTTTGTAGAGTTAAAGAACTTCACATCGATTAGATTTTTTGGGGTGATGAGGCATACTTGTACTTTTTACTTGAGTTTTTTCACATTCTGAGTCAAGTTGTACTTATAAAAATGCATTTATAGGTATACCACAGCTTGTGAGTATAATATTGTAAAAATGTCCTATCTATGAGTGATTTAAGATAGTTTTAGACTCTTGCTCGTTTATCTCTTCAGTCCAGCAGCAGACCTTTCTCACCCCAGCACCACCGAGGAGGACTATAGAAGCAGTGACAATAGCCCCGGGGTCAGGCTCAGTGTATTTCTCAGGACCACTTCCTCCTATAGTCCCAGAGCGGGGGTACAAAAGGGGGCGTGGCTGTGTTTGAGAGGCGGGGCAGATGGGGGGATAACGCAAACACACAAAGTCAACTGGACACTCTGGACAATACGGAGGAAACTAATCGTGTTGGAATCCCACGCTGCTGTTCCGATGGTGGGACGGGGTCAGGGAAGACTTACACACATTAGTCCATAAACATGTAACAGCCGTAGTAACTTAAAGAGGACATGTTAAATCAACTTATACGAGCGTTTAACCATGCTGTGACACTCTGTCTTATCATCAGTTTACTCAGCGTTGTATTGTGACTGATTCATACACGTTTGAGTAATCCTCTACATTCCTGTATTTGAGATTTGAGTGCTCTGAAATGTCTGTGTTCACCTACGCCCTAGCCCCGCCCACATCCATGTACTTCGTTGTGATTATTTGGGAAAAATCAAGACACTGTGTCTTACGCGTGGATTCAGTAATGAAAGAAAAAAAAAAAGTAAATATCTTCTTGTGGTATAGTTCGATATATGTACTGGTATATGTAGGTCAGTTTGTATGTTCATAAATGTGTATACTAAACTGCATTTCAACTAAATCAGCGTGACTGTGCAGACTCTCATGATTAAACAGAGAAAGTCCAATATTATAATTTATTGATTTGCTCAGCACAAATGAACGTGTGGTTGTATTTTCAGTTTAATGTTATCACGATTTAAAACTATTTGTATCTATAATGTTTCTTTTAACTGCATGGGGAGATGACGTTCGATTAGTTTTGTTCTGTTGTCACGTGACGCTCATAAGAGAGACCAAGACAAAACGACAAGTATAGACACAACCAAGTTGGTTCTAAAAAAACAAATACTAGTACTTTTGCAATTTGCAGCATTTTGGCTTCAGGACACATTTGTTTATGTTTTACAGAAATGAAACTTAAAACCACATGGCTCATTTGCATGAACTATAAAGTGCTGATAAAAACAGCTCACTCCTTGTCCGCTGATGTGGTTCAGCTTCTGTTGTACTAAAGGACATGACTCTGAGTGTTCTTTGTGTGACAGAGGATGTGCTGCTGATGGTGAGTCTGTTCTGTGTGTGTTGCGTTGGAGATGGTTCATGTGAAACTTTTCAGAGATTATAAATCTGCAGGTCATACACATAGACTGTAGAGCGGTGCAGCTTCGTAGTTTACCAAAGTTGTACTGAAGCCCTAATGGAGACATTTGAATTTCTCATTCAATAATAATGCATTAGTCAATATAGCACAGTTTTTAAGATGTTCAAAGTTGCTTTGCCATTTCATATTATTCACTCCCTCCACACTGATCTGATGAAATTGGCTTTGGCCACATCTGACTGGTTCACTGTTTAAATGCAATGAAATGTGATTCTGAGCCTCTTACTCAAACTATGAAATATTTAGTCATTCATCTTTTAATTCAGATTCTAAAATGAGCTGCAGCCTATTGCACCATCACCTTTGTTCATTATTAACTTAAGCCAAGTAATTCCACTAGACAATCTTGTCACGGGGCAGATGGAAAACAAAACAAAAAGCTCTTTAGAATTTGATGTTATTTAGCATGTTTTTACATATTGAGTGAGTATGAATAGCAGCCAAACCATAGCTTGAAATCCACACAAAACGCTGCAGAAATGCTTACAAAATAATGAATAAACCTGCCAAATCTTGCAAAGAAACTCAGACCAATGGGAGCAGAGCTATTGACACAGAGAAGAGGAAGTGCTGGAGTGGAGAAGCGCCCGAGGCGAAGGGCAGTGGCTACACGGCTAGCCTTTGTGCGCGCGTATGCTAATGTCAGATATGCTAATGGCCCGGTGTCTGCAAAAGGCTTCCATTCAGAGCCCCTTCTTCTTCAGAGCAGATACAAACTAGATAAAGCAGGCATTTGGGACATTTTTCATTCAAACGCCCACTGAGGTTACGGGGTTAGGGGCGCACGCCAAGGGGACCCTCAAAGCCCTTCTGTATTTGGTGATAAGGCCGTGGCCGGTCCAGAGGTGTTAGGATTGGGCTGTAGCTGGTGACGTTGAGTTGGTCTGAGTGTTGTAATGTTTTGGAAGCTGTGGAATGCAGTTTAAAGGGATTAAAGGGACTGAAGTGACGTGGAGAGGGGAGTGGGAGACGTCATGGGGCAAACCAGGACACTAAATTACACTTATCTGTCATGTAACTAGACCACAAGTCTTTTTTGGGGAAGATGTGCAGAAGTATTGACATTTGTGTGGAAGATGCACATTAATTCTTTTCACAAAATTGTGTGTTTTACTTTGATAAATGTCGTGCAGGAATGGAACAATATTGCTTGGAATCTTCCTCAGTATGGCTTATATTAAAGGTACACTGCGTAACTTTTCTGGTGATGTGTCATCACCATCTTGAGCAATAAAACACCCTAATAACACAAGAAAAGTTGCATAGTGCACCTTTAATTTACAAGGATTTTGCTGCAATGAATAAATAAATGACCCTAGAAAAACATGTATTGTTATTGTGCGTGGGATTGCCTTTTCACAAACTTGACCTGTTGACTCGGCCTGGTAACATCACCTGCTTGTATCCATGGAACTTTATGAGTTGAGTTTAGTTTGGTTTATGTAAATACGCATAGCAATGACATCTCCATGGAGACAAGGTGGCAGATTCTCCAAAAGTAAAGTTACACATTGCACCAAAACATTTGAACAAAGTATTGCAAATATAGTCTCACTATTTTCAGCAAGAAGTATACATGACAGGTCAGGTCTGGACTCACCACAGACTCACCACAGAGACGGTGCTACCATTAGGCAAAGTAGGCGGCTGCCTAGGGCCCCCAAACCCGGAGGGGCCCCCAACCAATTGCCCTTAGTATCACTAATGGTCGAGGCCTCAGAGCAATTAGATTTTCTCTCAATATGACATTAAATGAAAGTATTTTACTTTTAAACAATAATCATAAGTAAAAAAAAAATCATATGTAATGGATGTAAACAAAAATGTAATTGTACTAGCAAAAAATACAACTACTTCCACTTGTGGTTATCTAGTAGGTGACCAAAGTAATAGGACAAGTCTCAATAATTCACGTGAATAGAGATGTGCATGTCTCAAAAATAGACAATAAATATATTCAAAACAAAACAACAATGCGTTATAGTGCGGGCACCAAACTCAAGTTCGCCATACAGAAGTCTTCAAATATGATGCAAGATGTATGGAATTATGTAGTTAAGACAAAAACTCTACTAATGTTTTTGTTTCTTTGTTTTGTTACATTTTATCTTCAAATCCTCAAAGTAGCCACTCTTTGCTTTGTTGAAAATGTTTTATTTACATTTTTCTATTCTACATAATTCCATATATTGTACTTATATACAAAATGTAAAAAGAAGTAAAAAAAATTAGAGGGTGTGTCCAAACTTTTGACTGGTATTGTACATGATAAATATGATGTCATATTTACTTCACAGTACATCATATTTTGCCATGTTGTAATTTTGTGAAACTAATATCATATTATCACAGTTATTGGTTCATCTGTTTTGACATCTTATGTGAAATACCTCAACAATTGTTTTTATTAGATGTTGAAATCCTCGTCATTCATGCTCACGTTTACAATGAAGCTTCTATGAGCACTAATATAGATTCCACCAAACAGTATTCAGAATCAACACAAACAATTTGAGCTGAAAATCAATTACAATATTCCTCTGTTGTCAAATCTGTGACCACCAAAACAACACCACCACATCACAGGAAGTCAATACAACTCGTAACAGCTTTATTGATTGGTCCCAGACAGTTTCATTCTCCTCACAGCTCCAGGCCAGTCCAGCTCGTCCATTGGCGTGTGTTCATTTCCTTTGGGACGTGGATTTTATTGGTAGTTTTCAGATGGGAGAATTTGATGGTGGCATACTTCCAGATGGGGGGAAGTTCCAATTTTCCCTATTGATTACACTGTACTTTGCCATGAAATATTGGAAAGGTAAATTCCCAAATATGGAACCTGATCGTTTCTATTACTGACAACCCAAGACCCTGATATATTACAACAAAAATCTGCAGTTGAACAATCCATCTCTATGAAATAATGTTGACGTATAGAATGCAGCGATGTCGTCTGAAACCCAACAGTTATTAACAGTGTGTTGTCTTCTTTTGTGACACAGATGCCGGACCAGTTTGACCAGGCCCTGGTGCTGAACCAGCTCCGGTACTCAGGCATGCTGGAGACTGTGAAGATCAGACGCACTGGGTTCCCTGTACGAAGGCCCTTCACAGACTTCTGTGCCAGGTCTGTACGGAGGAGGGGTATACAAATATCAATGCAATGATTATTGTGTTTAATATTAGGGAAAATATTGGACCCTATCAAGCATTTTGAAAACTACTATTTATAAAACATTATTCGAATTTAACCTATGTTGGTAAATGGTTTTGTTTAATATATTATTACTAGGGATGTAACAATAACCAAAATATCGTGATATCGTATCGTCCAAGTTCTCACAATATTATCGTGGACAATCACAATATATCGAATTACAAGTCTCTTTGCTTAAATGAAGAGTTATGGTGCAGCAATAGAAAAAAGACAGAGAGAACTAGATAGACCATGATCCTTTGTGCCATTTCACTGCAGACTACAAGAAGAAATAACAGTTCTAACACTTTTTTCTTTGGATTAAGTCTCGTCTTAAGGCATTTTAAGAGGAAAAAGTTACATATTAACAGTTTTGTTAACCTCCACAAAATATCACAATAAATATCGTGCTGTGAGATGTATATCGTGAAAAAATCATACCGAGAGATTAGGATATTGTTACATCATGAGCCCCCCCACCCTACTGTGAACGTTCCCACAGTATCGCAATAAATATCGTACTGTGATGATATCGTATCGTGAGACTTGGTTATCATTACACCCCTAATTATTACGTTCCTAAAAATTATTCTTTTACACCTTTTATAAATTTGCTTTTATGTTTAGTATTTGTACATTCTTTTATGGGAAAAGTTTTAGCTTTCATGTAAATTTTAATTGTTTTTATTTCTTAAAGCTTTACACTTAATACACATTACAAGGTATACAACAGCCTCACAGTGAGAAGGCCATTGATTTGACTCCTTCACGGAGCCTTTGTGTGTGAAATTTGCATGCTCTCCCTGTGTACAAAAAATAATAGCAAAAATAAGGTTGTCTCATTCAGTTTGGTGATGTTTAACAGTTGGACCTCTGTCTTGTTGCACAGGTACAAGGTGCTGCTGCAGAGCTCGTGGGGGCTGGACGACCATAAGGCCTGCTGTGTGCACCTGCTGCACCTGTACGACAGCAGCGGGGCGGAGTGGCAGCTCGGAAAAACAAAGGTAAAGATTCAAAAACAAAAACTTAAACAGGGAACTCAAGAGAAAGTCCATACTCAATACCAATCCTGATACCACAATGATGACAAAACACACTCTTTCTTTAGACAAGAGAATGCCATTTTCATCATTTAAAGAACAGTATTTTCTTTTCTATTCCCATGTGGTTTTATATGTGTGTAATCCCTCTGTGGGAGTAACAGCAGCACAGATACTGAGACGAGAGCCTCTCGCGACTTCAGTGTGTGAAAATGTCACACCAGAGTATAAGTCACTGGAAACACCCAAACCATGGAAAAAAGTGCCACTTATAGTCCGAAAAATACTGTATCTAGTTTCATTACTAGTTCTAATATCGATTAGTATCTGTTTTTCGATACTTTTGACAACCCTTCTTGAAACCGCTGCAACAATTCTAAATACACTTCAGTCATCATATTTTTCTCATAAGTAGCTTGATGGCAATGTGTTATTAATGTTAGAGGTAAGGATGGGCATTCGATGAAATTTTCTTAATCGATCGTTGAGAGAATTAACGATCGATTAATCATTAACGTTTTTATATTAAAATGATCATCATTATTATTACTATCTGCACTCCTAATGTGCATAAATAAATTAAACTTTACGACAAATAAACCGTAACCACTCTAGAGCCACATCAGCCCGTTTGACATTATAATGTGTTTAATTCAGTTTTGCACAACTCTCACAGAAACAAAACTTAAAACCGCATCACTAATTTGCATAAACTAAGCGAAGATTAAAAAAAAAACAGCACTTGTGTCGCTGATGCGGTTCAACTTCTGTCAGATTAAAAGACATAACTCAGTGGAATACAGGTTAGTGTGACCATATTTGCGATTGTCAAAACCAGGACACCGTACGAGGGGAGGGAGATGGGGACTCGTCATCGACATTGCGTTTCTCTCACCTGGTAAAGCATTTCCCACTGGACACCGAAACATATGGGCTGCTTTATACACTGTGCACATGGACTCACACTTGTCCCGAACGCAACGGAATGTGTGGAATTTCTTGTACAAATCATCGTTAAATACGCATTTGTGCTTCGCAGACTGACCAACTGTTTGTGTTTGCTCGCTCCTTCTGAGTGCAGAGAGCTACTTGTACGGACCTCCGTTTGTTCACGCTACGCACAGCAACCTGCATTCGGTTTGTCGATTAAAATTTACGTAATCAATGAAATTCTTAATGATCAATTATCAATTAATCGACTAATCATGCCCATCCCTAATTAGAGGTTATTTTGTATCGCCTCAAATTCATAACTATACATTGCTTTATTTGCCATTGTGGAACCTTCTCGCTGTGAGTCCTAACCACTCCAGCGTGTCACTTTGAAAGATAAATGACCTTAATCTAAAAAAATACACTTTCTATTCAGCTATTCTACTGAGCTTTCACTGGTCCCCTCTGGCCTTCATATAGTGCAGCTCCCGTCCTCTTCGCTGTCGTGCATGTGAGCGCTGTGGAGAGATACTCAGAGATAATATGAGCTCAAAGCACCTACAGCAAAACACTTATTAGATCTGCTTCCAAGTGGGCCTCCGTGATGGACAGTATTAGGCTTTAACATCTGTATATGCAGCTGTGGGCGTATGCATACATTAGACATACATTATACAAGAGGCTTTCAGACACTAGACCCTATAGTGGGGATGATACACGCACTAGATTCTGCTGTTTTTGTGATGATGATGATGATTGTATTGGAGCAAACAGAAAGGTATAAAAATAAGTTTAAATTTAATAACATCAAAAAAAGATATAATTTAACAAAGGCTCAAATTAGGCAAATTACTAACAAAAAAGCCGGGCCCAACTGGGGTAACTAAGGCTGCGTTCAGACTGCAGCCTGAAGTGACCCAAATCCGATTTTTTGGCCTCTATGTGACCTGTATCTGATCTTTTAATGACAGTCTGAACGACACAGATCCGATTTTTTTCAAATGTGACCCAGGACACTTGGATATGTGCTCCTGAAACCGATACATATCTGATCTTTTGACATGCGACTTCAGTGTGAACGGCCAAAGCGCATTCATCCACCTACACGTTATCAACAAGACACAAACGTCACTATTCTGCACTGAAGTAGGTGAAAATTGTTAATGAACTCCGTGTCACTGAAGTGAAGCACATCGCCACTCACCACTCTTGGCTATGTCTCCACATCCACACGTTCCTTTCAACGGACCCACTGTCCCACAAAATGCCACGACCAAAAACCTCGTCCTTCTCCTTCTCAATCTCCTCTTTAAAACAAGTAAGTTGTTCATGTTCTGGCTCCGGTACGAGAGGAACTTTAAAATCTCCAGGTGCTCGATGCTGCGTCCATGTTTGGACAACTTCTGTAAACACAGAGCACGCTCACTGCGGTTGACGTCATCGTGTCTCCAGTGCACATGCGAGACACTTTCAGGCCGTTTAATGTTCACACTGGAGACACATACAAGTCACATTTAATTGGAAATGTGAACGATTTCACAAAAAAATCTGAATTGGGCGTTAAGCCCTGCTGTCTGAACGTAGACTTAAATCAAACTGAACAGACCAAAACTAACCCAACCAGACAAAGAAACAGGGGTATTTAAATACTTGAGGACCAACTAAATACTAAATAATTAACTAAACTACTAACTTAATCAAAGTAAGAAGAAAACAAATCATTATAATACAGAAAATAATAAGTGATAATAAAGTGACCTTAACACAAACTAAAAAACTTAATAAACTAACTAAACAGTGCTCCCCCTTTGCTGAGTCCTGATGGTCTCTTCCAAGGGTCCTCAAAAAAAAAAAAAAAAAGTGTAAGTAAATCAGACTTATATTAACTAAAATGTGTGCACTCAAATTAGAATATAAATCTAAATAAAGGATTTAAATTATGTGTAATGTGATTAACTTAATGCAAATGAGAAGAAATTATACTGACACTATGGAGTGGTGGCAGAGGGATCCACCGCAGTGATGATGGAAAAAAGAAAGTGTGTTTGGGCCCAGTTCGTGCAGTTATGAAAGTGAATGAATATGAATGTGAAGGTTCATTTTTAAAGTCGGTTTGTTTTGTCCGGATAAAATAGAAAGAGCAGACACAATAATTTACTATTGTGTGAGAACCAATTTAGAATTATAAGGATTGAAATAAGGATTTATGTGGGACAACAGGAAAAGTTGGGAGTGAGTGAGGTGAAGATTTGGTATTCTTTAACTCATGATTCACAAGTCTCCATAAGTACCGTATTTTGCGCACTATAGGCGCTCTGGATTATAAGGTGCACTGTCATTGAATGGTCTTTTTTTGAACGCACTGAACTATAAAGCGCATCAGACAAAACACAACAGTTAGATAAGTCAGTCAAACTTTATTTAACGCGTTCACAATAACTCTCAACTTTGTTCAATTGTAACACGTAAAAAAAATACTGTCTGAGACGCTAAATTGTTCGTGTATTCACAATAAGTCATAATTGTTCAGTTATAGTAGTAACTAAAAAGTAACACATTACACTCACTTTTTCATTTCCTTTTCATTCCTCGTCCACAAATTCCTCAGATTCTTCATCTTCAGTGTCCGAATTAAGCAGTTGCACGATTCCGGCATCCAGCACGCCCACATCCCTCTCGTCATTATCCGAGTCAGTGTGGTTACTGTTCCCTGGAGTTCAGTTCAGTGATGATTCTGGTCTTGGTGAAAGCTCGGACCACAGTTGATACTGATCCTTAGTCCAGGCGTCCACGATCCATTGGCAGATCATGGCATAAGTTGCTCGGCGCTGTCTCTCTGTCTTGGTGAATGTGTGTTCTCCTTCTCTCATCCACGCAGCTCGCACTTTCACGTTGAACGACTTGTTGACACCAACATCTAGCGACTGAAGTTCTTTAGTTAATCCACCTGGAATGATGGCAAGCATTGAATTGGTTTGCTTTCTCCACTTATGTACCATTGATTCATTAATGTTGAATTCTCTCGCAGCTGCTCTTTTCCCATGTTTTACTCCGTGACTTATAAACTTGAGTTTAAAGTGAGCATTGTAAGTGTGTCTCTTGACAGGTGCATTTTGACATTAAAAGGACTCACAGTATGTTTTACTCCTGATGCTCCTGACTACGGGAGCCGTAATGCTGCAAGTGGAGCGGCTTTGTAGTTTACTAAAGTCGTACTAAGACACCCCAATAAATTCATATACAAGGCGCTCTGGATTATAAGGCGTGCAGTCGTTTTTTGGATGAAATTAAAGGCTTTTAAGTGTGCCCTATAGTGCAGAAAATATGGTAATACTGGACCATACAGCTGTGGGCATATGAACACATTATACAAGAGGATTTTAAACACTAGACTCTATAGTGGGTTTGTGATACCAACACTGCATTTTTCTTTTGAATGTTTGTGGCACATTAAAATTCCTTGTATTCGACCTTTCTTTCTGGTTGAATTATAGCCTCTAAGCTGCCAAGATCTTCACTGGTTTGGGACCTTCTGCTGCTCCATCTGTTAGCTTCTGGTGCACTGCGTCAGCTATAGTCATATATTTACCCATAATGCTTAGAGGTTTTTGTGTTCAGCTGGTGTCTGCTGGTATTATATGTTTTACAGTGTTGTCAAGAGGCGACTATAATCTGAATCAGAATGTCTTTACTGTCATCTCACAAACCACACAATTAAATATTTATCAAGCTGGTGAAATAATCTAAATAAGTAAAAATTTCAATAAAAGTTTTAATAATAATTTCACTTATTTAAGTAATGGAAAAGCAGACATTAACAATTAGTGAAACTATTTTGCCGTCATGTTTTTTTCATTTAAAAAGAAAAAGGAAGTATTATCCATGTAGTTCAGTTTCACAAAATTTATTTAGAAAATCTGTAACAATAATATGTTATGTATGTATGTCAAAACATCATTACTTATTCTGTAACTTAGTAATCATACTGCTTATAGTTTCCACGGATCCAGGAAATGCTGGAAAACCTGGAAAATAATTGGTCTGAAATGTAAAATCTATTTTGTCCACCCTTTGCTTTGTTGGATTCTTGGATATGCAGTTAATAGACAGTCAGTAGACACTTATTATTATTTTCCCTCAACTTTTCTAATTAAAATTTACTACAAACTCACCTATAACCCCTTTTTTTTAACAATATGTCAATAAGAGAGCTGTGTAGTCACATTTTGCTCTTCTTGCTTTTCACTCACACTGTATTTGACTACTTCATACTGTGACTACAGACGTCTTCCGCCACCTCAGTGTTTGTTTGTCATAAGATTCATGGATTACAGTGGAATTTGGAATGAACACTGTGTAATAACACGGAAGCTCTAAACAATTTAACATGTGCATTTATTCAGTAATCATATGAATGTTTTGTAGTTTAAAATCTATTAATTGTCTCATTGTCTTGTGAATGTGGCTTTGCTGAAACACTTGGGGTCGGATCTGATCCATTCTAAAGCCTGTGAAAGCTTCTGCCAAATGTGAGCTAACTCCAAACACTTCCAACTCGACTTCCAACTTTGTTTTCAGGAATTGACTGGAAACAAGTGAACATGTCATAAAAACAGACACAACAGAGTAGAACAGAGCAGCACCAAAGTTTAACTTTACAAAACAGAAATAACATAAATGCAACTTGGGGCATAATAAATAGTGTTAAAAAAGAAAGTGAAACATCCTTATCCACATTACTTTGTAAAGAAAAATATTGACATATATGATGAAAAACTAATTTCAAATGACTTTTGTGAATATGTTGCTAATGTGGGGTCTAGCCTTACAGGAAATCCCTCTAAAAAGTTAGAGGAAAATAGAATTAATGACAATGTGAACAGTATTTTTCTGGACAAGGTGGGGAAAGATGAAATAATAAAAAATGTTAAAAACTGTAGAAACTGACTGTGAGGGTTTGGATATGATGATTGTGAAAAATACATATGCAGTCTGTCATTAACAACGGGAGTTTTCCCAGATAAAATAAAATGAGCAAAAATAGTTCCCGCTTACAAAAATGGTGATAAACACAACTTTTCAAACTACAAGCCAGTCTCACTGCTTCCACAGTTTTCAAAAATATTGGAGAAGGTGTTTTCAATAAGTCTGTATAGTTTTTTTGCAAAAACAAAACACATTGACTGATAATGAGTATGGATTTAGGGCAGAGCATTCAACAGCAATGGCAATAATGGAAGTAACCGAAAAGATAGCAACTGAAATTGACAACGGTAATTATTTTTTAAGTATATTTATTGACTTACAAAAAGCTTCTGAGGTAATAAAGATTACTTAAGAAAATTAAAAAGTATGGGATTCGAGGGGTGGCTCATCAGTGGATAATAAGCTATTTAGAAAACAGAAAACAATATGTACAACTCAACGACACAGAATCAGAAACTTTACAACTTTGAATTTGTTTTTTAGTTCATGAATGATGTGATCAATATTTCCTGGGGGTGTGATGCAGACTGTAATCTCTGCTCTTTCTGAAGCTCTGTTCCTCAAGTTGCAATTTCATACGTGGTTTTCAATTTCAAATTTCAAGATTAAAGACATTGACATTACTGTTAAAAATTACAGGTCTTATCTCTATTTGTATGTGTCTATGTACCCATACCAACTGTAATTTTATTCTGTATGATCATAAACGATAAACTTTTGTGCCTTCTTCGTTACAGTTATGAGTTTGTCCGACCATAAACAAAAAATCCTTAAAGGGTCCATCTCATGCAAAAGCCCTTTCTGCTACGTCAAACACGTCATAGGTGTAGCTGCCGCGTCATTGTTGTAGCAGCTTTAGTTCATTGTCACGTGGGAGGGTGACAGAAATACGCAGCAATTTGTTAAAATAAAAAAAAACGCAGAATCAATCTAAAAACCACTTTGGTGACATATACATGGCCCAACATCACTCTTAGAAGGTAGAAAGCTCTGAAAAGTTGATTTTGCATGAGATGGGCCCTTTAAATTTTTTATTCTCATTACTGTTTATTTTGTACAGTTGTATTTTTGTATCATAAACGATACACTTTTGTACCTTCTTCATTATTATTATTAGTTTGTACGACCATAAATGAAAACAAAAAAATCTTTAAATTTTTCGCTCTCATTACTGTTTATTTTGTATGATCAGAAATGATAAACTATGAATAACATTATTATTAGTTAGTACGACCATAAACGAGAATATGTTTCTGCATGTATGTATATGTGTGTTATGGGTCTGGTCAAGCGGTAACGGAGGAAACAGGGGCAGATTTTTTACATTCGAATAGCTCTTATTCAGAAACTAGAGGGACTATTGAAATAAGTAAAGTATCAGAATGTAAGAAAGAGTTACACTCCAACAGGGTAAAGTTAAACCTGTGATATTCTTTCAAGTTGTTGACAAAAATATATATATACGGATATATATGTATGTATGTACGCAAGTCAGAACTCACCAAAATGCAGGAAATAACACTTATTTGTATCACATTTCGGTTTAAATTTTCGGTCCTCCCTGTTTCAGATCGATCATGGTCCCTCTGAGCTCTGTTCCACTTTTGTCCCGGTGACAGATTTAGAGCGTGGGCCCCGTCCCCTCACACGGCACATGTCCCTCTATTGTCCCTTTACAGCCTCCAGTGTAACTTTGTGGAAGTGATGTAAGTGCACCAGGGGCTGTGTTGTCACTTTGAACAGAGTGCAGAGGCTCAGGGGCCATTATTGGTTTAATTAGCATAGCAACGATCTATAGGATTAGTAACACGGGGCTTTGAGATGCTAATGCAACATGAGGTGCTCTTTGTGTGTTCGCCGATCCAGGCTACAGTCACAAAAGTGTGCTCACGTTTAGAAAGCTGCTCTATGTTTGAACTTGAGTCAGAGGATACTTGGAGATTTTTAGCTTCTGAGTACACTTCTAGGAATTGTTAAAAAAAAAAAAAAAAAAAAGGAAATATGTGACAAAGCTTCAACAAGAACAACATCAGTATTCAAAATGTGCTATGTCACTTTTCTGGTGAGGGGTCTGTTTGTCTGGTGATGTTATTGTTCCTTAGTATAACATTAAACTTGTCTATCTTAGGTTTCTTACAGATGTTTTTACTCATTAAAACCCTTGAAAAACAAACATTTTAGTGTGAGCGTAGTCGCCTTTCCACAGATCTGACCTGTTCCTTTCTGATGCTGTTAAGTCCTCGTCTTCATGAATATAGACACATTGCCATACTGCGAAATATTCCAGGTACAGTGATAACATCTTCATGGAGGCAAGCAGACCAGCATCCACCAGAAAAGTTACATAGTGCCTCTTTAAATCATCCAACAGTATGTAACAAACAAAACAAAATCCTATGAAAAGATGTTTTGGACACATTTCCAGAGGTTTCGGAAGTTACATACATTTTTCTGTAAAGTAATTTGGTAAAACTTGTTCAAAATGACAGATGAGTTTAATTTGAGCACGTTTTTGTTGTAGGTTTTTCTGCGCGAGTCGTTGGAGCATCGTCTGGAGAAGCAGAGAGAGGTGGAGGTGCTCAAAGCGGCTATGATCATCCAGGCTCACATCATGGGCTATATGGCCAGGTATGGTCTTTCTTTAATTAAGTATCATGAAAATAAGTTTAAATGGACTTTTACCTTCACTAACAGAGTGTCTTGGACTTTTTTAGGCCTTTTTAAAACTGTCTCAGTACGTTTTTATGGTAATTTTCACTGGTTGCTTGCGTTTGTACATTGTCTTTGAGGAGAATCTGTTCAGTACTTTTCACTTTTTCAACCCTCTGAACCTCTCACTTTCCTGTGTTTTTTAAAACATATGAGTTGTTATGTTAGTGGAGTTGTGTTTTATGGATGATTTTTACATTTTACATCATGTGGTGAAGTTGCTTCACATGTTGTACAACAGGAAATTTAAGTAATTTTAACCTTTACAAACTGTTCATTTCTGAGGACTGAGTAAACTCAGACTAAACCTTACCAAGACTAAACTGGGACTAAACCGGGATTGGAACAGGACTAACCCAAGTCTACATCAGGACTAAACTGGACCAAATCTGAACCTGGGTGCCACGTTCCCGTTGGTGTTTTCACAGGAAGCAGTACCGGCGTCTGCTGCGGTGCATCGTGATCATTCAGAAGAACTACCGCGCCTTCTACTGGAGGAGGCGCTACCTGCTGCTGCGCTGGGCCGCCCTGACCTTCCAGAGTAGGGTCAGAGGTCAGAGGGCACGGCGAGAGTTTGTCCTTCTCAAGGAGGAGAGGATGAGGAGGCTAGAGGAGGAAGAGCGGAGGAGGAGAGAGGAAGAGGAGATGGAGAGGTGAGAGGAGAAAGAGTGCACCTGTACAGTAATAATTCACTTAAAGGGCCTGTTTTTTGATTTGATCTAATGTGGTTTCCTCATCACAAACGCACCTCGACTTGTGTTTTGTTTCATTCACACATTCACACAAACCCTGCAGATTTAAACTAAGTTCTTCTCTCAAACTGAAAACACTCTGTTCCACCTCGTGATGTCATGTGGGAATACAGGAAGTGCTCCACTGTGCTTTTAAACTCCATTTTTACTAGAATCATTTGGATCATTTCAACCCTGTACTAATCAAAAGGTAAAAGGAGCTATTGACATGAAAAAAATCCTCATTGTGACATCACAAGGTGGAACAGAGCATTTTGAGTGTAATATGCGGGATTACTTCAACATGTGTGAAAGAAAACAAAACTCAACTTTCTGTGTGTTTTTGATGAAGTAACAGCATTATAACGGTCTTAAAGCTTACAAGAGAGAATACATGCAGTCATCATACAATCCACACTGGGAAGGATTTTCCAAAAAAGTGAGCATCAAACCACCGTGTTTGATTTCCCAGTGGGATGCGTCTTTTGTCAAAGTCGATCTTTTCAAGTCTTTTGAACCACATCACTTTTGTTTCTGGTTCTGATATTGTCATATTTTAGTTTTGGGATTCGGACATCGTAATTGTGTGGTTGTTGAATGTCCTAACAGCGGAAAATGGCTCGAGAAATGGGCTTTGGAAGTTTGCAAACTCCATAAATGCAAAAGGGAATCAGATGTGTGTGACTGCAAACCTCTGTTCAAACTGTTTCTCTTCCCAACAGAATTGAAAAATAGTGAAATGTGAAGTCGATGGGCAGGATTGATCCACAGCAAGGACCAAAAAGGAAACCTTTGACTGCCTAAGAAATCATCCCGAGTTTGTATGTGGAGCGACAACAAAGCAAAATCATGTTTCTTAAGTGAGAGATGCAGAAGACAAACAGTTCGACTTTACAACAACATCACGTCTTGGTCTGTTTGCAGTGGAAAGTGTTTCTTGGTGAACAGTTGGTGCCTTTCACTTTGGCATTGACTTTTTAAATTCTTAACCAAGGTTGAGCGAGGGATCGGGATTTTGCTTTGCTGGTGCTGCACATACAAAATGTTCACTGCAAACTCAGGATGATTTCTTCGGCACCCAAATGTTTCCTTTTTGGTCCTTCCTGTGGATCAATCCTGTCCATCACCTTCACCTTTCACTATTTTTCAATTCAGTTGGGAAGAGAAACAGTTTGAACAGAGGTTTGCAATCACACACATCTGATTCCCTTTTGCATTTATGGAGTTCGCAAACTTCCAAAGCCCGTTTCTTGAGCCGTTTTCCGCTGTCAGGACATCCAACAACCACACAATTACAATGTCCAAATCCCATAACTAAAATATGACAATATCAGAACCAGAAACAAAAGTGATGTGGTTCAAAAGACTTGAAAAGGACAATAGACTCATCCCATTGGGAAATCAGGAAATAGTAGTTTGATGTTCACTTTTTCGGAGGATCCTTCTCAGTATACATTGCACGATGACTGGAAGTCCGAAATTTGGGATACATGTATACATTTTGCCTAATATAGGACCTTTAACGATAAGGAGATTATTATTGAAATGACTTGACTCGTTCAGACCCTCCAGGCTTCTTTTTGCTGAGAGATTTTAGTACCTAAAATAGAACCTAATCTCATATGTAATGATCATATACAGTATGACAGATGTTGTTTGTTTAAATTGAGTTAGATATTGGTCTGTGCCCGGAACTGTCCATGGTGCTGATGAGGTAAAGCTGATCTGATCTGTGTGTTTCCAGAGAGAGACTGAGGCTGGAGACTGAGAGGACGCTCCGAGAGGTACGCTCATCAGATTACACTGTCTTTACTCACGGACCTGTCCAGTGTCATGTCATGAATCACCATCACAAACCAATGTGACTGGTCTCAGCAAAGTGACTATTGCTGGCTATTGCAATAATATGTTTAGACGTTTTTTGTTTTTTTTTCTTTTTATGACTTGAGGTCTTTCTTCTCCAAAAAAGAGAGTATGTTAGAGCCCAGTTTGTGTGATTATGTAATATGAAGGTTAATTTTTAAACAATAGGAACAATAAATTCAAGTGAAACCAAAAACACACACCAATGTCCTTGTAGAGGTGCAAATGCAAAGAGAAGCAACTTAAAAGTGAAAAAATGCATGGCACGTTCAGATGGTTCATGTCCAATTATTTACTTATTTTTTTAACAATGTTTCGGGAAGAAAACTTCATCAGATCATTCTGTCAGTACTGGATGAAAAATGATCTGACAAAGGTTTTTTGCTGAAACACTTTTACACAATTTAAAACAATTTAAAAGTTTAAGAATGCGCTATGGATTTTTTTCATTAGAAACAGTAATTGTGTGAGAATCAACTTTGTCGTATTTTGGAGTAAAATGAATATTGCACAATAACAGAAGCAATTAGCCATTTAAAACATTGGAATTAACAATATCAATAATGCATTTGATTGATGACAAAGACTTAATTAGTAATGAACAAATCGTTTATTAAGCATTACGTTTAAAATAATTAATACAAGGCGGTTTTAAGCCTCCCAGCTGCATTGTTGGCTCGTGAACATTGAACATTTTACACAAATCATCCCACTTTATATCATATTTTAGCTGCCACCTGAAAGAAAGTTGTTTTAGAAGCACTAAAGTGGGCGGGAGTATACATTTTTTCTAGAATTGCTGTTTAGGAATGTAACAATAATCAAAATATTGTGGTATCGTATCGTCAAAAGTTTCAAAATAATATCGTGGGCTGTCACATTATATCAAATCACAAGTTGCTTTGCTTAAATTCATGGTTTTATTGAAGCAACAGCTTATGAACACAGGTAACTACATATCCCATGATTCATTTCAGTGCAGACAACATGAAGAAATATGTTTTTTACTTAAATTCTTGGGATTTTGACAGTAATAATTCACACCAAAATCTTGTCATGGTATTTTACAAGCAAAAAAGTCTCCTATCTACAATTATATCAGCCTTTTCAAAATATCTTAATAAATATCGTACCGTGAGATGTATATCGTGATAATATCGTACTGAGAGATTTGGATATCGTTACACCCCTATTGCTGTTACGTTATAAATATTTTTTCTTTAGGCTGAAGAAGCTGCTCGACTTGAGGAACTCCGCCTCCTGTCACTCGCTGCGTCCCAGTCTGAGCCCCAAACTCCGGAGACGGATACCCCCACAGAGCTGCCCCCCGCCCCCTCACAGACCCCCTCCCTGCCCCCCCGCCTGCCCCCGCACCTGCCCCAGCGCAGGAGGAGCCCGGGCTGGAGGAGCGCGTGAGCAGCGAGGCCTCTCAGGTGATTATTATCTCTTTATAATTCAAATATTATTCAGGATTTGCACATTGAACAAAACACAACAGAATGTATTTACTGAATATATTAACTCTGAGCTTCTCTGTCAAACCTCACGTTGTTTTCAAGAACTGCAACACACACACAAGTATACCTGATTTGCCAAAAAGTACACGGAATAGTAGACAATGCTATAAAACAATAGGCATACAGTTGAGTAGCAAAAAAGTTGATGTAGTGTTCTGATAAATCTTTTTGCATTGCATTTGGGTCTCCACTCTTTACATCCATTCAGTTTTAAAGCTGCACTGTGTACCTTAAATTTCCAGACTATTGAGGATTTGCGTGTGACGTGATTTAATGTTTTGGCGGTCATACTGGAGGTCAAGATTGGGGTTTATCCGGATGGTGTTATTCAGTTAAAATATAATCATGGCGACTTTAAACAGCGCAAACGACTTAAAACTGTCTGAAATCTCCAGCTTGTTAGATCAGCGTCATTAGAAAGGTGTAAAGCTAAAGTCGTCCTTCTGAGTTGTGGAATAGATCCTGATCTAATTCTGATAGAGCACTTTGTTAGTTTAAACAACACTCGCTCTGTGCCCAAACCTCCAGTATCTGTTTTTTCATGTTAGATCTTCTTACATAGGAAATAAGCAAACATTTTCCTTTGTGTTTCACTGGCGATGGAGTGTACGTGAATAATGATGGCACACAATCTGGTGAAAGTGGGTTATCATTCTTCATATCTACAAGAAAAAAATACTTTTGGTATATATCGTTTCATTTAGTGTAAATCCCTTTTTTGTTTGTTTGGAGATGGTCCCTCACCAGAAATAAAATGATGACTGCACAGACGATTGTACGCCGTGGGCTCCATCCCTCTCTTTTTATATCCACTGTTCACCTCTGTCTGTGATCTTTATCAGTCGGGATCCAATAGAAAGACACTTTGGCCTCCTTCTTTAGCAGATTGACTCCGGCCAGAACATCCAACAGCAACACAGGTCAAAACCATTGTTATTCAATTCAAATGTTATCACACACAAATACTACACGTCGGTCCAGATGGATTATATGACCTCTAATATGGCGACATCAACACCAGGTCACGTGGTTTTGTGATGCAGACGCAAAACCTTAATAAGCCGCTACTTTTTTCTCACACTTTGAACCCTGCGGTTAATAAAACGATGCGGCGAATATATGAACGGATTCTTTGTTTGGCACATTGTCCATTCATATTTACGCTCTATGGTTTGGCAACACAGTGGATACACAAAGCCTGAGTGCAGAAAACACCACTGTCTGTGCGGTTACACATGGATCTAGGGTTCACATGAAGTTGCGACACTAGCTCGCGATATTGTCGGTGCACTCAAATAGTTTATCGCCGTGTGATAAAATAAGTTATGATGTTAAATGAACATTAGTGAGGGGGATACGTCTTACCCGTGTGTGTAAATGACGAGAAGAAACGGCTCAAACTTCAGTAGCCAAACATCCACTCACACCTGACTGATGGATCCCGCCCCCGAGAGAGTCTGAAATCTGCTGAAATCCTCCAAGACACTGACATGACACAGACAGGACAGAGACTCTTTCTGCAGGAGACATGCACAGCAGAGCACAGGAAGAGACAGGGTGATGCGCCGAGGAAGATTCTAGTTTGATTGTGTTTTGAACAGTTATTTTGCTCTTCATACACAAACCCTCCTCATGGAAAACACAGCTTTTAAGTTAAAGACGATTGATGTGATTGTTGAAGAAGGAAACAGAACTGCTGCACGTGAGCTCGACATCAGTGAGTCGATGGTGAGATTTTGGCGATGATAAAGACAAAAAAACTTTTAGAGGCGATAAAAGCAGACGACTTGAACTTAAGAACGTTCTTGAAGACATGGACACCTGCGGCTTATAGACAAGTGCGGCCTATATATGTACAATTTTAAAATTTTGTTAAAATTTTGTTGATGCGGCTTATATTCAAGTGCGCTCAATAGTCTGGAAAATATGGTCAACTTTTGTGGTGGAGGGTCCTTGTCTCCATGGAGAGGTCAGTGCTTTGCCTCAAATGTTCCACACTTTAACATCATTATCTCCATGGAGACACCAGGTAAAGTTACACTCACAACAAGTAATAGTTGAGAAGTAAATATGTGTAAGTGAATAAACACAACATAGATAAGTTTAATGCAATACTGAGGAATATTCCAGGTAAAGCAATAATCTCCACGGAGACGAGCAGATGAACCTTGAACCAGAAAAGTGACATACTGCGCCTTTAATTCGTTTTTATCAGCAAAAATAAGACACTGACAAAAACTATGCTGATAACATGTGAGTTGACAAAGCTAACCCTCCTTTTTCATGCAGGTGGAGGAGATCTTGCGCCTGGAGCGTGAGATTCAGAGTCTCCAGAGGCAGAAGGAGCGGCAGGAGCTGTCCCTGACCGAGGCGTCCCTGCTCCGGCTCCAGAGGCTCAGGGACCTGGAGCTGCAGAGGCTGGAGGACGAGGCCTGTAAAGCCGCTCAGCACTTCCTCGATTCGCTCAACTTCCACGAGATCGATGAGTGTGTGAGGAACATCGAGAGCTCCCTGCAGACAGAGGAGAAGGACGGAGACCAGCACAGGAGAGGTGAGACGGGGCCAAATACACCAAATACTTTATTACCGTTATGGTTCTAACTGGAGAAATTATCAAAAAGCTTGTAATTAAATGTGTCCGAGTAGCATTTAATAATAAATCTTGTCACAATGTTTTAAAATAGAGAACAAGTTATCAAGTTAATATTCCATAGCCAAGGAAAAAATGGGACTAAATCTACAAATTGAACATTCAGCAATCAGCTAAATTTGGACTAAACCAAATTAAAGACTATAGAGTGAATCGAACTGTTACTAATCCAGATCCAATCTAGAATTTGACTGGTCAAACACTAAACCTATGACTAAAAAGAACTCGAATAGTTCACATATTTACCATAGTTTAAGAAACTCAAATCCTTAAAGGTGCATTGTGTAACTTTTCTGGTGAAGGGCCCGACAAACACTTTTGAAATGTTATTGCTTTGTCTGGAATGTTTCACAGTATGGCATTAAAACTTTCTATCTTGATGGAGATCAAACCAGACCAAATTATGGGTCAGATCTGTGGAGAGGCGACCCCGCTCACAGTCATAATGTCTGTTCTTCTAGGTATTTTTGAGCTATAAAACCACCTGAGTAGTGCCGTTTAATGTCATACTGTGGAACATTCCAGGCAGAGCAATGACATCTCCATAGAAACAAGCAGGTGACTGACCCTCCACCAGAAATTTTACACAGTGCACCTTTAAACTTGTAAAATTTTAATAGCTATTTCTGTTATATTAGGGTTTTATTATCCTATTTAATTTAAGAGCCCATTTATCCCTAGCCTGATTCATCAGCCGGTTTCACTTCGTGGAAACCGTCTGACCTCGCAGTGTTAGGTTTCGTTTGCTTGACGGTAGGAGGGTACTTTTTTTATTTAACCTACTCTTTGTTCCAGCTTTAAATCCACAATCTCGGGAATCATTGCCAACACAGAATTTCTGGCTCTTTGCTGGTTGACTGGTGCCCTGACTCGGACTTTCGGGGTTCTTGCAAACTGTCTAGTGTATTCCAATTCCTGACCTAGTTGCTGGAAAGAAATGAAATCGAGCAGAGGCACTAGGTGGCGCCAGCCTGGCTAATTTATCCCCACTATAAATAATAATTGGCCTGAATTATGTTATTTTTACTAAGGGTGTCAAATTATCGCATTAATTGCAATTAATTAATTACAGTCATATTTAGCGTGTTATGTTTTTCGCGTTAATCTCATTTTTAAACTCTAACTTTACTGTTTCTGTATGCGAGTTTCCTTATTATAAAATCTGTTTTTATGTGTTGTTGGGACAACAACACATCACTCCCGCAAAGAATTGTAATTTTCATTCCCATTCTCGCCACATCTGCGATAAATCTGCACATGTATGATCTCTGAAAACATTGCGAAACAGACACAGAACAGACTCACCTTCACCTTCAACATCCCTCATATTCCACTGAGTCGTGTTCTTTAGTCCCACAGAAGCTGAACCACATCAGTGCACAAGAGGTTTTTTTTTTCTTTTTCTTTTCTCCTTAGTTTATGCAAATGAGCCATGCGGTTTTAAGTTTTCGTTTCTGTAAGACGTGTGCAAAGCTGCATTAAACACATTATAATGTCAAACGGGCTGATGTGGCTCTAGAGTGGTGATGTTTATATGTTGTAAAGTTGAGTTTATTTATGCAGATAAGTAATAGTAATAATAATGATGATGCAGTAGAATGTAAGTGACTGCATCTACAAAAGTTTGTTAAACAATAAATGACTTTATAAAGTCACTTTTTTTTGTTCTATATCAGTCTGCCACAGTAATGTAATAATGAATTTAAATGAAAATACCTCAAATTGAGGACTTTTCTCAGCAATTTTTAGGTGAGATTAAAAAGAGATTAATTAGAGTAATTAATTACAGATCATATTTAATTAATGTCTCAATTTTTTTAATCGCTCAATAGCACTAATTTGTACATTGCTGGATAATGTGTTTTTCCATTTTTTGTTTGTATGATATATACAAATATAATATATACAAATAATATAAATATTTTATTGTTGAATTCTTTAATCATAGTGTCTGTCCAGTTCAAATGATTCTAGTGATGGTGTAGTGAAGAGTGTTTTCTGCTTGAGGGAAGAACTGCAGCTATGTGTGAATGAAACAAAACACAACTCTCCTCTAACACTCGTCCTGTGTTACGTTACCAGATGAAGAGGAGGTAGACGAGGGCTTCGGAGCCGACGATGACGCGTTCAAAGACTCTCCAAACCCCAGTGAACATGGACACTCGGACGGCCAGCGCACCAGCGGCATCCGCACCAGCGACGACTCTTCGGAGGAGGACCCTTACGCCAACGACGGCGTGCTCCCGATCACCAGCGCACCCCTGCCCTCCTCCGAAGCCCCCTCCGACGAGATGGTGGAGCTGATCCCCCCGGACGAGGACTCGGACTATGACCAGGACGACTACGACGAGGGAGCCATCGTGTCCAGTGGGAGTGTGGCGCTGTCCAATTCCCGCAGTGGGCAGTGGTCACCTGACTACAGAGGCTCAGTGGGGACATACAACAGCTCTGGGGCGTATCGGTTTGGATCAGAGGGAGCGCAGTCTTCAGTAAGTCAAGTGGAAGAGTCTGTCAGACACTGAGCTGGTGGTACAGTGGTTAGAACTTCTACCATATGACAAAAAAGTTACAGGTTTAATACTCAAAACGTACTTGACTTTGTTACTTAGGTAAAAGTACAGATACCAGAGCAAAAAAAATACTCAAGTAAAAGTAAAAGTATCAAATGTACTTGTAAACATATCTACTTAAATAAAAGTACCAGTTTAATAACTTTAATACTTAAAGAGTAAAAAGTATTTAGCAGATTTTGAGATCTGACACCTGCTCTCAAATGTAGTAAAATAAAAGTGAAAATATCCACTTTAAAATGTACTTAAACAAAGTACAGATACATAAAATGTATACTTCTATACAGTACTTAACTACTTTTACTTCATTACATTCCACCACTGCAAAAATGATCGTCTCCTTGTGTCTTTGTGAATTTATTTCCTCTAGCTGCTCTAATAGTTCGTCTTTTGGGGACTTTAATGATAGTGGGACTTTACTGCACAGATTTTTATAGATGTGTGTGCACCTATAGTGAAATGTTCCTCTCCTATTTCATAGATTAATGTTGTTGTTGTTTTTTAAAACAGTAAATAAACTGTAAATGCATTTTGTTTTGGTAGCTGCACTGTTAAAATCAGCCTTTCTTATTTTCTGAGAAACCCCCCTCATTTTGTGTCATGGTTAAAGCACATGTTTTTGTTTTGTTCTTCAGTTCGAGGACAGTGAGGATGATGAGAACAGATTGGACACAGATGATGAGCTCTCATACAGAAGAGACTCTGTGTACAGCTGTGTCACTCTGCCGTACTTCCACAGCTTCCTCTTCATCAAAGGTACGGCCTGATGACGTGTAATAGTGTCATACTAAACATATTTTTATTTATCTTAATCTTAACTGGTATTTTGTATGTACCTTTATTCATATATTATATATTCTCTGTTTATGTTTTGGTAAAAAAAAAATAATTGTATTGCGTCATCAAATATTTTTTGATTTTTTTCTGCTGTTCATTTAGTACACAAAACATCATTCCATTACTTTATAGAGTCCATCTATACTGTTGTCTGCATATTCAGCCTTTACTTGCAAGTATATTTTTCTCCAGGTATCCACACTTCAAACTCCTGCCCTGCAGTCAAGTAACAGAGTCCTGCACGGGTCCATTTTTGGAGACCTGCACTGTACAGCACCGCACCCGCCTGTTAACCCATGATTATATCAAAGTTAAACCCGCACCCACCCGGACCCGTTAACATTCTGCCCGTTACCCACCCGTGTCCGTAATAAATCACACATAGTCATTAAAAGCATTCTAACTAAAGCATCCATCAGAACACAAACTGAAAAATTACGACTTCAAGAATTACAATCATGAAATGAAATTAAATTAAACGGTTACACTTTCTTCAGTACGAACTCGAACTCACAGACGTAACTCGACTGTCACTTCACAGCCATTATTTACTGAGCAGAAGAAACACTGATCAAGATGTCGGACTTTTGCTCTGCACACGCCATGGGCTGAACCAGAACTAACCCAGGACTAAGCTAAGACTGATTCCAGGACTAAAACAGGACTAAACCAGGACTCACTGTCGGGACAGTCTCAGAGATGTGCCCATTGAGACCGTTGAGTGACCGCAGGAGAAAGGACCGGCTCCGAGCGCCGCGTCCCACAGAGGTAGCTGTCGTGCAGCCGTCGCCCGATCGCGCTTTGCGGACACCCTGCTCCACGGGCTCAGGGTTCTCTCTCTCTTAAGTCCAAGATTAGTCCTGGTGTAGTCCTGGTTTAATCTTGACCCACCTGTTTGTAATCACCACCTGCCCGCATACCCGCACATAAAATTCCATAATGTTAAAACCCGCCCGTTTCAGCAACTATTTGCCCGTACCCATTGGGTACTTGAAGGTACCTGACCAGGTGCAGGACTCAGCTTTGTAATGAGAAACATGAGGCTGTAATCAGGGCCGTCTTGTGTGTTTTTGTCTGTTTTTGACAAGAAAGCTGCAAATTTACCTAGTTTGCACTAAAATTACCTAAAGGACTAAGAGCATTAGTGTTTCATTCTACTTTAACTATGATAAATGTAATTGCATCCACTTACTTCCACTCTTTACTTCCATTCAATTTTCATCAGTTTTTTTTTTTCAGCAAAAACAAGACACTGACAGCAGCTCAACACTGTGCTCATTCCATTGTGTCCACCTTTTTCACTCACCAGATCTACTAGTAAGTAATGAAGCTCCCTTACATGTGTATTATTGTTGCGCAGGTGGTCTGATGAACACATGGAAACGTCGCTGGTGTGTTCTGAAGGATGAGACGTTCCTGTGGTTCCGGTCCAAACAGGAGGCTCTCAAACAGGGCTGGCTCCATAAGAAAGGAGGGGGCTCTTCCACTCTGTCCAGACGGAACTGGAAACGCCGCTGGTTCGTCCTGAGACACAGTAAACTCATGTACTTCGAGAACGACGGGGAGGACAAGATGAAGGGCGTGCTGGACGTTAGGGAGGCCAAGTAAGGAACCTTAAAGAGCTCGTGTTGCACTTCTGTGAGCTTTTAGCCATGTCATAATGTTGTTACCTCATCATAAACAGACCAGGAGTTGTGTTTCGTTTCATTCACACATCCTTTTTGGAGGAATCCTTTATTATTAGTCTGTCTACATATCCTTGTGATGTCATAAAGTGATCATTTTAAAGTTAACATTTTACTTTACCTTTATTTCAGTACAGATTGGAAATTCCAGTGCTGAAATTATCCAAATGATGTTAAAGAAGATGCATGAAGTAAAAAAAAATAAAAAATACACAGTAGAGCACTTCTTGTATTACCACATGACATCACAAGGTGGAACAGAGAGTTTTTAATTTGAGAGAAGAACTCGTTATAACATATATTGGAAACTGAATAACAGAATGTATTATTGCTGTATTATTTCATTTTCTTATGCAAAAAAAAAGAAATTTGGTATCTTACTCTCACCGTATTTTTTTTCTGAGTGGAAAATTATTTGCATCTCAAACCAGAACCAAACACAAAAGTTCAGTCAGATTCACTTATTTTAGTAACACATGTAAAGCGAAGGAGCTACATCTGTCAAATAAACACAAAATGACATATACTTATACATATACTTACCTCAGAATAAGAGTTTAGTGCTTTTCTCATTGAGTGTGAAAAAATCTGTGATGTTTTTCAGTGGCATGTGCTATTTTTTTACCCCCTTTTTTCTCGTAAGCAGCCGTATTTGTTTGGTACGGACCATGCATGCATTTATTTCTTTATTCTTTCTTTGTTTTTCAGGGAGATTATTGACAACACTGGGAAGGAGAATGGGATCAACATTGTGACAGTGGAGAGGACGTACCAACTGATCGCAGAGTCCGCTGAAGACGCCAGGTAAATCGAAAAACTGTTCTTTGTTACAGTGTTGTCACGATACTAAAATTTCAAACACAATTTCAACACTGAGAATAAGAAATAGACTCGATACTCTATACTGATTTCGATAGGGCAATGATAATAAAAACACTCTATACAGCTGAATGTGTAATCCCTCAGTATATGCTCAATTTAGTGTATAATTTTGATATTAGTGTTAGTCTTAGTAGTATTAGTATCTGATTTTTTACTTTTCATAACCCTACTGTGTTATGTTAAATGTACCACTGTGTATGAAGAAATTGTAACTTTCCTTTTGTGTTCACAGCCAATGGTTCAGCGTTCTGACCCAGGTGCACGGCTCCACAGAGCAGGAGATCAGAGAGATGCACGACGAACAGGCCAACCCCCAGAACGCTGTGGTCAGTTTTTTTTTAGATGTTTTAGATGAAGCAATATGCAGAATTCAACATATTCACAAGAACTCACCCTTTCACTCACCCTTTCCTTTTCTTCTCCACTCAGGGCACACTGGACGTTGGGATGATCGACTCTGTGTGTGCCTCTGATAATCCAGAGAGGTGAGATGGGGAAATTAATTTTTTTTTCTGTTCATGAAATAAAAATTGTTGAAATGTCTAAATATGTCTTCTACTTCTTCTCTTGTATTTCAGGCCCAACTCCTTCGTCATCATCACAGCTAACCGTGTGCTTCACTGTAACGCGGACACTCCCGAGGAGATGCACCACTGGATCACACTGCTGCAGAGGTCAAAGGGCGACACACGTGTGCAGGGCCAGGAGTTCGTCATCAGAGGTAACACAGAAAGGATACATAATCTATGTGAATTCAAATAACAATGTTTTGTTTGTTTTGAGAAATTTAACCAGTTCAGGTTTATTTATTTGACTAAAGGTTTTATGAGAGACAGACTACAATAATTCTGATGAGCAATATTTTAGTAAACTGATATCAGACAAAGTATATTGTTCAACAGCGTTTTTATTCCATTGTTGGAAACTTTCCCCATGTTTGAAGATTTTGGTTGTATAAGAAGCAATAGATTGAAAGAATTTAGAATTTGACAAAACAAAATGAAACTTCTTTATGCTCTACAAATACCTAAAAGTAAATGAATATACATTTCTTAGTTAACGCTCCAAATTTACTTCAATAAAGATATTCCTTGCAGTTGAACAAAATGGTACAACTCTACTTATCTATTGTCTGTTTGAGTCCTTTCCCACATTTGACCCATATTTGATTCAGCAAACTATAAAACTAACTTAAAATGTAATATTCTCTCAGGTTGGCTGCACAAAGAGATGAAGAACAGCACCAAGGCCTCGCTAAAACTGAAGAAGCGCTGGTTCCTGCTTACCCATAATTCCCTGGACTACTACAAGAGTTCGGAGAGGAATGCCATGAAACTGGGAACGCTGGTCCTCAACAGCCTGTGCTCTGTGGTCCAACCTGATGAGAAGGTCTTCAAGGAGACCGGTGTGTAGTGTTCATTCATTCATTATTCATTCACTCAACACTCAGTGGTGATAAGCCACTACTGTAGCCACAGCTGCCCTGAGACAGACGGAAGTGAGGCTGCCAATCTGCAGCCCTGGCCCTTCCAACCACTCACACACACACACACTCACACACACACCACTTCATATGCTTTTCATACTTGCCTAACGATACAACAACTGGCGCCCTCCTGTGGAATCTCAAATTCCCAGTGGTCTCACATCCAAGTACTAACCAGGCCCGGCCTTGTTTAGTTTCAGAGATCTGACGATCTCAGTCTTTGACCAGCCAGTACTATATACATATTTCAAACCTCATTTTGATACAAAATACAACATATCCCATCCCTGGGTGTCAGAGTGTATAGCAGACAAAAGCACAATATGTCTTCTTTAACATTTAATTGTCTCCTAGGTTACTGGAACGTGATCGTGTACGGCCGTAAGCACTCGTACCGTCTCTACACAAAGCTGTTAAATGAAGCCACGCGCTGGGCCAACTCTATTCAAAATGTGATAGACTCCAAAGCTCCCATCGACACGCCCACACAGCAGCTCATCCAGGACATCAAGGTACAGCAACACAACCACAGTCTCTGAAAACACATCGAACACTATTCATATAATGTTATGATCTTTCTGTTTTACTGTAGGAGAACTGTCTAAACTCTGAGCTGGTGGAGCAAATCTACAAGAGGAACCCCATCCTGCGCTACAGCCACCACCCCCTGCACACGCCCCTGCTCCCACTGCCCTACGGAGACATACACATCACAGGTACACAACCTCTGCACACACCCCTGCTCCCACTGCCCCGTGCACATACACATCACAGGTACACAGCAGAGAGGAGTCAAGTCATCCTCTTAGTGTGCCATAGTTTGCAAAACGTATTGATAAACCACACTCTGGTAAAATTATTCACATAGTTAAATCAGATATTAATCTGATTTGAGTAGTTTTTACTTGTTTACAATTTTTCACATATTATGCTAAATCAGCTTTAAAGACCCATATTACACTGTTTACTGACCTTTGTTCTAATGTTGTTTCCTCATCACAAACAGACCTGGAGTTGTCTGTTGTTTCATTCACACATGTTTAACACACAATTGCTGTAGGTTTAAACTGAGTTCTTCTCTCAAACAGAAAACTTTGTTCCACCTTGTGATGTCATATGGTAAAACAGGAACTGCTCCACTGTGTTTTTAGTCTCCATACACCAGGGCTCTCCAACCTGTAGCTCAGGAGCTACCAGTAGCTCTCCAAAGGATTTTTGAATTAAAAGTATTGTACTGAATAACTCTAATATGATTAATTACCAGTGTAAATGTGTTATTTTGAACTTTATGCACTAATAAATGGATTTATAGGCATCTAACTATACAACATGTAAGACTTGCCCTCTTATATTGATTAAATTTCTTGTGACTGCTCAAATGAGTAGCTCTCCGGCATTTTTGTTTTGTAAAAGGTAACTCACCAGATCCAAAAGGTTGGAGACCCCTGCTATACACCTTCACTAGAATCATTTGGATCATTTCAGCCCTAGAATTGTTTATATTTACTGAACTAAAGGTAAAAGGAGCTGTTCACTTGGAAACTACAGCTTCATGACATCACAAGGTGGACCAGGGCATTTTGAACATGTGTGAAAACAAAACACAACTTCAGGGATGTTTTTGAGGAGATAACATCATTGTAACTTGATTATAATGATACAACATTATTTTTACATGAACACTAAACATCAGCATCACCTGGTCCATGTTCTAACCCTCTCTTGTTCTCCTCACAGGCTCTCGTAGTGGCTCCTACTCCACCCTGCAGGACGAGGCTCTGAAGGTGTTCTCCTCCCTGCAGCAGCTAGAGGGCGCCGTGTCCGACCCGGTGCCGCTGATCCAGGCCGTGCTCCGGACAGGGCAGGAGCTGAGGAGCCTGAGGGACGAGCTCTACTGTCAGATCATCAAACAGACGCTCCGCCCGCCTCAGCCCGCAAGCCCCGCCCACCTGAGCACATGGAAGCTCCTGGCCTGCATGTCCTGCACCTTCGTCCCGTCCAGGAGCATCCTGCGCTACCTCAAGTTCCATCTCAAGAGGTACACACAAGTAGTGCTAGGTGTAGTAGTTATTAGTTTACTTACATGACCAGTTTAATGAGCAGTAAATGGATGCAAACAGTGATGTATGTATCATTCTTTTTTAACACAATACTGCTTAAAGGATGTATTTATTATGTCAAGTTGGCTTTTGTTTTAGCCTTTTTACCAATGTTGCCTCATCAAATACAGTGCATACCTGTATTTGATGAGGGAGTCATACGTTGATGAGGGAGTTGTATGTTGTTTAAGTCATGCTTTTTCATTAACTGATCCCTGTTTAAGGACAGAAATACTTACAAATATGCATAATATACAAATGTAATCTTTTTTTTTATATTATCAAATTTTATGTAAATGGGGGAAAAGTGAAGCATGACTTTTGACTAGCTAACTTATAGTTCATTAAATTCAGTTCAATATTGAAATTCAAACCATGGCAAAAATATGTATGTATAATATATATTTTAAACTAAATAACCTCTAATCTCTCATTAATGGCTGCATAAAATAAGCAAACTAATGTAGTACAACTGCTTTTGGTATGTTATCTGTTGTTAAATCACAACTAATGATACTTTCTGATTTTGGATAATATTTAAAATACTAAAGATTTGTAAATCATACAGTCCTAATATCTGTTAAAGCAAAAGGTTGAATTGTTGTAAAAAATATAAAACTAATAAGGCTTGAAACACATTCATTACAACTACAAACTATCTAAAATCCATTATTAAATGCGGGACATACCAATGTGTTTTGTGTGTTCTTCTATCAGAGAGCACAGTCAGTTTTCTCCACAAACTCATCCCCGTGTCTGTGTCTCTGTGTGTTTGTGTGTGTCTGTGTCTGTGTGTCTATCTGTCTGTGGTCTGTGTCTGTGTCTGTGTCTGTGTCTGTCTGTGTCTGTGTCTGTGTCTGTGTCTGTGTCTGTCTGTGTGTGTCTGTGTGTGTGTGTCTTCAGGACCAGAGAGCTGTTCCCAGGCTCGGAGATGGAGAAGTACAGCGCTTTTGCTCTGGAGGCTCTGAGGAGGACGAGGAGCAGAGAGAACGTTCCGTCTCAGGAGGAGATCTGCTCCATCGTGGCCAGACAGGAGATGACCACCACAGTGCACTGTCACGGAGGAGGCTCCTGCAAGATCACCATCAACTCCCACACTACAGCAGGAGAGGTGAGGGCAGGAGAACTTTCCTCTCCTCTCTGGAGCCTCTTTCTGATGCATCAATATATAAAAAAAACACTCTATTAGAATATAAACCCAAGTATAGGTAAATAGGTAAATACTAAATTTTGTGAAGTACTTCTATAGTAAATGATACAAATTACTATTTGGTGTACTATAAAAATTCTTCATTTGGAGTCTAATTCTCCATTTTGAATGTAAAACTTTTGAGCTGATAAATCAGCAGGCAATACACATATGTTCTTTACTTGGATATTAGAGCGCTGGGCCACAGTGCAGCAGCAGTGTCTCCTGGAGACTGTTGTTGTGTTCTTAGGCAGTTTGGCAGCCCCAGTCCTCTCAGTCTGTCCCAGGACAGCTGTGGCTACAATAGTAGCTTTCCACCACTGAGTGTGGAGTAATAATGCACTGTAATGATTCATACTGAACAGAACCGAGTTTGAAGACTCTAAATGACTAAAAACATAGTGTGTGTTTGTGGTGATAATATGGACACAGGTTTCAAATGTTGTCATCACATAAGCAAGTGCCACCAGTATTTACAATTGCTGGTTGTAAAATGTAAAAACATAAATGATACTTTATTAACTTGTACCTTGTGTGTTTTGAGGTGGTGGAGAAGCTTCTTCGTGGTCTGGCCATGGAGGAGAGCAGGAACATGTTTGCTCTGTTTGAACACTGCAGCTCCAGCGGGACAGAGAAGGCCATCGAGAGCCGTGCGGTGGTCGCAGACGTCATCGCCAAGTTTGAAAAGTAACGTTCACCAGATCTGACAAGCTGACATTTATGAACTGTTTTATTACCTCCGCCAAGGAGGTTATGTTTTTGCCGGCGTTTGTCTGTTTGTTTGTTTGTTTGTTGTCTGTTTGTTTGTCTGTTTGTCTGTCTGTTTGTTTGTTTGTTTGTTTGTTTGTCTGTTAGCAACATAACTCAAAAAGTTATGGACCGATTTTGATGAAATTTTCAGGATTTGTTGGAAATGTGAAAAGGAAGAACTGATTTCATTTTGGGGGTGATCCGGAAGAAATCCTGGATTCTGGATCACTTTGAAATTTTAGTTAACATTGTGGTAAATGGGGCCAAAAATTTTGTTTCTCAATATCTCAGTTAATTATTGACCAAACCCCATGAAATTTGACTCAGGGATGGACAATGGGATCCTCTTTCATATTCCAAAGGCTGATCCGGATCTGATCCAGAAGACTGATTTTATCGCAATTTATATAAAAAATGGGGGTAGTCCTTGGCGGAGGTCTGCGCTCTCTGACTGCTTTTCTAGTTTTATGTGATCACTGATGATGTTTCGTTCTTTGTAGATTATCGGCAGGTGCAGACCAGAGCGGAGCTGGGTGGAAGTTCTACTTTAAACTCTACTGTTTCCTGGACACTGACAATGTTCCCAAAGACAGCGTGGAGTTTGCCTTCATGTTCGAACAGGTCAGTAATGATTACAGACTATAATATCTGCTTTAGATGGGGAACCAAGCATTTTTCTGAGGTGGTTCTTCTTGGTAGTGTACGGTTTTAGACATGGTTTAGTCTGGGTCTTAGTTTAGACTTGGTTTAGAGCCAGTTTTAGTTTGGACTTGGTTTGGACTTGGTTTAGTTTTCATTTATGCAGAGTTTATTAGTTGAGGAAATCTTAATATTTTCAGAAGTGATACAGAAATAATTGCTGTTGAGATGACCTTAATAAGGCTAAATTATTATAGAAATTTGAAAATAATTTAACTAATTATTGTGCATTAATTACGCAAATCATGAATTTGTAAATTCAGGGTTCATATTTCAAGAATCAAGAAATGTATTTGCCATTTGTAGCAAAAGAAAAATCCTTTACTCCAGTTGACAAAATGTAATTTTTCAGATCATATCTGGACATTTGTACTCACACAAAATTCCAAAACTTTCCATACAGGAAATTCTTGTGCAGGTCTCTTGTGTGAAAGAAAGATATTCAGTCCATCTTGTTCATCAGATCTCCTGTCTTGTACATTTCAGGCCCATGAGGCAGTGATCCGAGGCCAGTACCCGGCCCCTGAGGAGACCCTTCAGTTCCTGGCTGCTTTACGCCTCCAGTACCTCCAGGGTGACTCCTCCTCCCAGACCTCCACCCCTGAGCTCTGCCAGGTCTTCCCCATGTCCCGGCTCCGTGCCCGGGTACACAACTCCGCCAAGTCCTTCGCCCCCGGGACCTCCGGAACACTGGAGCGCTCCGGGGCGTCTGAGAGAAAGAGGTCCAGCTTTTTGGACGGGACCCTGAGGAGGAGTTTCAGGAGCGGCTCCGTGAGTAAGCAGCGGGTGGAGGAGGAGAGCAGTCTCGAGGCGTGGATGAGAGACGAAGAGGCCACGCTCAGAGCTAGCGTCATTGATAAATGGAAGAAACTGCAGGGGATGAACCAGGAGCAGGCCATGATGAAGTATATGTCACTGGTGAAGGAGTGGCCCGGCTATGGATCCACGCTCTTCAATGTGGAGGTGAGGAAAAACTACCAACAATCTGATTAAGAGATTTTACTCTGTGATTTAAAGGGTCCATATTACACTATTTTCTGATCTATGTTATAATGTTCCTCATCAAAAACAGACCTGGAGTTGTGTTTAGTTTCATTCTCACATGTTTAACACACAAACTCAGCAGATTTAGGCTGAGTTCTTCTCTCAAATAGTATCACAAAATGTATCACAACATAACATCAGAAGGTGGAGCAGAGCATTTTGAGCTTTGGAGATGTAGGCAGACTAATAAAGTGTTACTCAAACATGTGAATGAAACAAAACACAAATCCAGGTGTGTTTTTGATGAAGTAACAGGATTATAACATGTCTTAAAGTTCACAAGAGTTAATTTTGCGTAATCCCTTTAATTGTAGGATATCAAAAGTACTGAAATGGGCCAAAATGTTCAATTGTCTTGAAAACAAAATGGACATCACATTTAGACCTCTGCCAGCAAAACATCTCTCCCTAACCACTACAGTTACCGTATTTTCCGGGCTATTAGACGCGCTCTTAAGCCTCCATCCCCATCAAAAACAGACTGCGCGCCCCACAATCCAGAGCGCCCTATACACGAATCCACTCAGGTGTCCCAGCACGACTTCAGTAAACTACAAAGCCGCAGAACATGCAAACACACACGGAGCAAACAGCGAAGAACACTCACAGACACACTCATCACTCCAGGCTGACGAGGAACGGAACGGAGGAACGAACCGAAAAAGCGAGTGCAATGTGCCACTTCTAGACACGACTGAACAACTGAGTCACTGCGAACACGCCGACAATCCGTTGGTCCCAGACAGACTCCCTAAACGCCACAACTGAACAAAGCCCAGAGTCACTGTGAACGCCACAAACAAACAAAACCACTCACCCATCACACTGTTGTGTTTCCTTTAAAATCCAGCACGGGTTATTTGTGAAAAAAGTTTAAAAATAGACTGTTTAATGACAGTGCACCTTATAATCCAGAGTGCCTAATAGTGCGGAAAATATGGTATTATGTTTCATCAATAGTTGAAATGACATTAAAATTGCACCATTTCAAAATCCTAAATTGACAGAAATGGCTTGTCGAAGTTTTCAGCTTGTCCAAGAAAGGGTGGAAGTAAAAGGTCAACTGAATGTCTTAAGCAGGAGAAGTTTATTTACCATGGATAATAAAAGCAAGTGTGGTGAGACTCTGAAGGCCAGTAGACACCTGTCAGTCAGAAATATGCCACACTTTAGATCACGGTGTGCCAAGGGAAGATCATGGTGTAAATGTAGCTTTTGTGAGTCAGTGTTAAAGTGAGATGTACATGGAAGATAAATTACTTACATTCTTTTCCGTGTCTGAATTGTTGTGTTTTAGTCTCGTGACGGAGCGTTCCCCTGTGATCTGTGGCTGGGCGTGAGCAGAGAGGCCATCTCTGTGTACAAACGAGGAGAGCCCTGGCCCCTGCAGGTCTTTCCCTACGAGCAGATCCTGTCCTTTGGAGCTCCTCTGCCAAACTCATACAAGATCACAGTGGAGGGGAGAGAGCTGGTCTTCGAGACGCAAATGGTGAGTCTTTTTTCATTTATTATTACCAAACTAAAAACTAATTTAACCCTCTCCAGGCAGGCGTTGCAGATTTGTAACAGCTAAATGCCAATTACCTACTTACTCCAAATCCATATTTTATGAGCTTTTTTTACTCAGGAGCCTTTTTTCCCATCCATGCTGATAAACGTGGATGATGCAGACTGTGCAAGAATGACTACACACAAACGACCTGCCAGAAGTGCAAAGTACTTTTGTTGTTTACAAAGGATAGAAATTGTTTCTTGGAGAACCACATGAAAAAGTGATGTTGTTCTGCCGCTGTAAAGCTGTTACACTGTGCTTTATGTTTTCATTGTTATGAAAAGTGGTTTACACATAAAGTTAATGTTCATATCATTTTCAGTCTTCAGTGTTAATTTCCCACACCAGACCAATGCTGCAAATCTGCAACATCCCAGAACACACTGGATGTGAAGGTCTGTCTCAAAACAAAAAGTCAGGATTGTATATTAGTACCCCATATGATCATTTTCCCCAAATATCAGATTTTTTCCTGTTTTTTTACTAAAATTTTATTTGAGCCTGAGAGGGTTAACACTGTTCATGTGCATATAAATAGGGTTAAATGTGCTTAAACCTGCATATAGAGACACATACAAGTTTGTCTCATTCTCAGTTTATGGACAGACCTCATGCGAAAGCTCAGAACCTCCAGAATTCACTGACTCGTGGCTGTAGGTGCTGGGGTTTAGGTAGTGACCATCAGATCAGAGAGAGTCATTTTAGGTTTAAACCTAAGACTGGATTTCAGCATTGAAACTGGCAACCCAAATGAGACTCATTCTGCGATCTGATTGGTCGTGATGGCGAGATGAAGCCACGTGAAGCACTGAAGCGTTCCATCCATTTGCTCGACTCTTGAGCCGATGCTTCAAGGTGCTTCATTTGCCCCACTGCGCCATCAAGTGGCCAACAATTGTATAACAGTCAGAGTGACTATTATCGTTCTGCCTGTTCTACATTTTTGTACATCTGGATACATTGTCCAGGATGCTTGGAACACACCCAACACTTCACCTGATTTTTTTTTTACAAGAAATATATTAGAGCAGGGGAAACACTGTGTTGTCAAAGTTATGTATTTAGTAATATTGTTTTTTTAATGACGTCATTATTTCTGTAAACCTTATTAGGAGATTTCAGCTCAAAATATTCCCAAACAGGGGAAAATATTCTTTTTCTTTTTGGCTCCATCGCAAACAAAAGAATCTCAAATAGAATGTACCAAACTCACAATAACCCAAAACCACAAAATGTGAGGGGGAATCCATTGCGTTTCTGTTGGCTCTTGTTGTTTGTTTCGAATCGTGCGCCAAATCCGCAAACCACGTCCTGAAGCAGTCACGTGGTACGGGCGGTTCACGAGGCTTTGAACGTCACCACTTACATCACTGATACAAGTCTCGATACGCGCTTCACCAAAGTCTTCCCTGATTACTCGGCACACGCTTTGAAGCCTCAACACGGAGGACACATCACTTCTGATTGGATAATTATCTTGAGAATCAAAACACCAAATTATAACATCGTGTCCAATGTTTTTGTAATTAAGAATAAATCCGCAGTGCAATTGTTAGAAGTTAAATCTATATTTGATTTGAACATGTCACATTCATATCTGAGGACACGTGGTATGTATATCAGTCACACACACAGTTCCTTTAATATCACCACGTTCTACTTGACTTTGATTGACAGGAATATGTATGCAACACTAAAACTGTCTGTACTTTACTTTTGTCTCCTCTGTGCTCAGGTGATGGACATAGCCAAACTGATGAAGGCCTACATCAGCATGATCGTCAAGAAACGCTACAGCAACTGTCAGTCTGTGAGCAGCCACGGGAGCCAGAACAGCGCCTGGTGAAGTCCGCGGCGCCCCCTACAGACTCTATATGAACCATCTCCACCCTCTGAGAGCATAGACTCCAGAATATGAACCATCTCCACCTTCTGATCTTTTAGACTGTAAATGAACCAGAGCAGAGCCAGGTGAACTCTGCTCCACCTTCTGATAAATCTTCTTATAGATTCTATTTGAACCAATGAAGACGTGAACAAATGAATGAATGAATGCTGGACCAGAACCACAAGCTCTTAAGAACCTACCACAAACCACCACTAAAGCTGGACTAGAAACGTACAGTATACTCAAAGTACTTTCAACGGGTGGACTTTGAAACTGACTGTACAAAAAAGCAGGACCGGTTTGTTGGTTAAGCACTTACTTCAGGTTAATTCACAAAGTGCTTGTGCGAAAAAAAATTGAAAACACAAAAAAATACAAACGCCACAGTTGAGAAGAGAACCAGCTTTCAAAATGTGACTTATGCCCTGTTCAAATTAACATTCAAGCGTCTTATTGTATCTTCAGTAACTAATACATAAGGGTCAGTCCGTATGAAATCAGCCTCCCTCCCTCTCAGATTTGGCAAAAAAAAATTCAAAAAATTTCTAAAATCACCAAATGAAAGAATCTCAAATTTTAGCTCAGTCCCTTGAGTCGTTCCTGTGTTATGGCCCGTTGAAATTTTGGTGCCATGCTCACTTTTTCTGAAGCCTTAATTTATAAACATGTTTGAGAGACCAGAACTTCATAAAAAATAGAGTTAGGAAGCTGAGAATTTATATTTTTGTAGATTCTTGGTCATAGATTCTGAATCTGTTGTCAAATATTTGGTATCTTTATTAAGGGGGGCGCTGTGGGCTCCCAAAATCTCACAATCACCCAATTTTTTACTCCAACCTCCAAGCAGATATTTACAAACTAACTGTTGAACCTGAATATTTGAGAGAATGACCATTTCTGACAACAACCTCACACTTTTCTGAGCTTTCATGTGAATGGTGTAGAGCTCCAAATATGGTCACTAACCAAATGTGATGTTTTTGGCCATAACTCAGGAACGACTGAAGGGATTGAACTCAAATTTGAGATTCTTTCATTTGGTGATTTTAGAAATGTTTAGAATTTTTTTTCAGCCAAATTTGAGATGGCTCATAAGGGAGATTCCTTGGAAACGGCTGATTTCATACGGACTGACCCATAACTATATCTAGGTTTTTATGTATAGCCCTAAATACACAAAAACACAACCAAAAAATATCAGTTCCGTCAGTGTTTTCTGATGACATGCTCACGGAAGAACCTATGTTAAAGCCAAATACAGCCTACTACAAGCTAAATAAATATTATATAGTCAATCAGTGTATTTCCTACATAATATAACTGCTATCTTTCTTTGAAATCTAGTCGACAATGTACATGAAATAAGGATATAATTTAATCAGATATGAACAGGGCCGAGTCACGACAACGATGAAACCAAAGAGACCTCCGTTTTGAAGTTTTTACATGTGGATTTTTAAAAGAAAAGCATTTTAATGTGTTTGGAGTCGATCAGACGTTTAAAATTTGATTGTAGGTGTGATTTTTGAATGTTAAAAAAAACAAACAAAAAAACAAGACAGTGAAATGGAGACTTCAAAATGTTATGAAAAAATCTCTGGGATGACCTGTCCGTTGTAAATAATACGAGTGTGATGTTTGTCCCGTATGTTTTGGTTTATTTCGTTTTATCGATAGTGTAGATACAAAGTGCCTCGTTCAAATCCGGGCGCGGACTTTTTAACTGATTCCAAAGGTGCTCGTTGTTTTAAACTGCTCTGTGTAAGTCGTCGACAATAGAAATATACAAAAATATATATGGATTTTAACTCTAGGATTGTCCAAAGTATCGAAAATCTGATACGAGTTCATACTAAACATCTAATATCGAAACTAGAATCGATCACAGATAAAAAGTGGAGCTTTTCTCAACAGTTTTAGTGTCATTTTGAGCTTTAGCAGAACGAATCTAGACCTCATACTAAGGTAAAAAAAAAAAAAGGAATTTTATTATTAAAAAAGGAGCAACACTATTTGTAACGATTCCATATTGTTGATTTTTGTTATTACCACTTGGAAAATCAGACAGGAGCAACGTCTTTACTATTTCATTTTGTTATTTTAGTCACATTCATTGGTTTGTATAAATGGACGTGTACAACTGATTTTATAAAAACTAGAGTCGTATTCTTATTTTTTGTGGCCTCAAGAATATTCTCATAATAATTCTCAAATTAATGGTTCTGAGGCAAATTACTTTTTCCGTTATGGGCTCCATTTTGAAACTATTTAAGAAATGTAATCACCAGTTTTGACTAGTTTGGGAACATTTTTTTTTTCAGAATCACAACTGACTTTATAAAAACTAGATTAGCATTCTTTTTTTTTTTTTTTTTTGTGGCCTAAAGAATATTTTCATAATAATTCTCAAATTAATAGTTGGCCCCATTTTGAGAACTTTAGACTATTTAAGAAATGTAATCACCAGTTTTGAATAGTTTTGTCACATTTTTTCAGAAACACCTAGTTTTGTCTTTTAAAAAATCCAAATATTGGTATACAAAGAAATATTAACTTAATAAAACAGAAATATAAAATAAAGCTTAACTAGTCTCCTGTCTGGTTTTCCATATCATAACTATCCTGCATCTACTATAGTGTATAAATTGGTTCATTTTTAAAGGTGCACTATGTAACTTTTTGGTTGGGAGTTTGTCACCTGGTTGTTTTGTATGGATGTGTCATTGCTCTGACTGGAATGTTCCACAGTATGACTTTAAACAGCACTACTTTACTGTACATTTATTTAGTGTGGTTTAGTGTGGTTTAGACCTGCTTTAGACCTGGTTTAGTCCTGGTTTAGACCTGGTTTTAGTCCTGGTTTAGAACTAGTTTAGACCCTGTTTAGTCTTGGTTTAGACCTGGTTTAGACCTGGTTTAGACCTGGTTTAGTCCTGGTTTAGACCTGGTTTTAGTCCTGGTTTAGACCTGGTTTAGAACTAGTTTAGACCTGGTTTAGAACTAGTTTAGACCTGGTTTAGTCCTGGTTTAGTCCTGGTTTAGACCTGGTTTTAGTCCTGGTTTAGAACTAGTTTAGACCTGGTTTAGACCTGGTTTAGACCTGGTTTAGAACTAGTTTAGACCTGGTTTAGAACTAGTTTAGACCTGGTTTAGACCTGGTTTAGAACTAGTTTAGACCTGGTTTAGTCCTGGTTTAGCCCAAAATGTGAAAACAGGAAAATACTGCCCTGTAATCCATATATTTCAACAAAGTAACTGTAATCTAATTACCACTCCCTGAAACAGTAAGTGTAACTGAATACAGTTACTCATAATTTGTACTCTGATTACATAACACCGGTACATGTAATCTGTTACTCCCCAACACTGTTTGTAACCTGCTTGCTTCTTTTGTGATATTATGTTTAATCTATACTGTGGAACATTCTAAACAAAGCAGTAACATTTCCACGGAGACAATGAGGTGGAAATGTTCACTCCACTGGAAATGTTACACAGTGCAGCTTTACCACGTGTTTCAATACAGATTCGCGACACAACATTCCAACATTCCTGGTTATCTCCACGGGAACTCCGCTGGCGGCAGGTCCATCCAAAGACATCCGAGCTTTCCCACAGTGCCTTCTTGTAAATATGTAAACTTCTTTTGACGTGTGCTCTCGTTTTTTGGTATTATGTGCAATGTTCTATTTTATTATTATTATTATTCTATATATTCCGTATAATCTTTGTGGCTGTACATTTGATATTGTAAGTCTCTGTAAACCTGTTTATGGAAATGTACCACAAGCTTCAGCAGATCCTGTATTTTTCTCAATGACACGGTGAGATTTGACGTTTTCTATTTGTATTTACTGTGCTGTGTATGGAAATAATGATTCTAACAATAAAAAGAATACAAAATTTATCTGATGTCATTATTTAAAGTGCATGATTCCATAGACATAGAAGAATAAAACCTTAGATACTGCACGTTTTATGCCTACTGTATTTTGTATATTCTAGCTATTAGCCAAAGGAGCATCTCCATGGAAATGAGCAGAAATAAGAGTCAGGTTTGTGGAGATGCAAGCCCACTCAGAGGAAGGACATATGTTTTTTTAATGCTTTTATTTTAGTCAATTTTTTGGCAAGAAAGGTACATACTGGGGCTTTAAATGCTTTGAGCGATTTTTAAAAATGTTGTATTTCTAGATAAACAACATCCTTGTATTTTAGTGTTTGAATCTTTTGGATTTTTATTCTAAAATATAGTAGTTTTATGTAAAGATAATTTAGTTTAGTCCATTAACACATCTACTGTATGTTGACTATTCATTTCCCACTTCTGCCAGCAGAGGGCAGCAGACACATAACACAATCTCTGTCAGTACACAAGTCTCAAGTCAAGTCCGAGTCAAGTCCCAAGTCCCAAGTCGAGTTTTGAAACACTGGCTCATAAGTCCAAGTCAAGTCCCAAGTCCCAAGTCCAAGAAAAGTCCAATTCGAGTTTCAAAATCACCGGCTCATAAGTCCATGTCAAGTCCCAGTCAAGTCCATATACATTTTCAAGTATAGTACATGTACAAATCCTTGTTTTTGTTTTGTTTTTTTGTTCGTGTTGTTGATCTTGTTTTATCTTGCTTAAATAAATAATAAAAATAAATAAATAATATAAATAAATAAATAAATGTCCAAGTCATCTGCTTTGGGCTCATTTCTAGTCATTTCAAATCTTTAAACCAAAGTCCAAAATATAGCTTAGATTTTAGCAATTTATATGATATACTGAATTTATATTATATACTAATTGTACTTAAAAAGGTGTGGAATATTTATATATGAATATTTATATGTCAGTTGTAGAAAAATCAAATGAAAAAAACACACAGAAGGAACATAAGTACAAGTCCTTTTGTATATTACATGTTTTATTTGGAATGTCTTTTCTTATATTTCAACAACATACAATAAGACCAGAAATGTATGTCCGGGTACATGTTTTCAGTTTATATCAGTGAGGATAGAAGCAACGATATTTAATAATAATAATTAAAAAAAACTCAGCATACATTATACAAACAATAACTTATTGCATGATAATAACATAATAATAACATGCAGTCTAAAGTGTGCAAAAATGCCTATAAATAATAATACAATATATGTCATATTAAAGAGGGGGTATTAACTGTTAACACATAACATATTTAGATCACCAGATTACCTTTTATTGTTTGAAAATGCTTGCTCTCCACTCTAAGTCTCTCCCCTTCAGAGCTGATTTTACTGTGCAGTTTTGTATAATGTTTTTGTAGATTTTTGCAGAATTGTTATGACGTTGTGGGCAGAGCATTGGACAGAATCTTACAGCTACTGTCAGGAGGATTCAAATAGGGCCCGGGAGAGATCACTAGATTACTCAAACATGCATGAATTTTTGATGAGGTAACAACATTATAACATGAAGTCTCTAACAGTCCATTTTGCATACTACCCCCTCATTAAAGATAGAGTTCTTTAAATGGCACAGTACAGTACGTTGCCGCAGTGCTGGAAAGTCAAAGATGTGTAAACATTCACTAAAAACATAGAGAAGACTTTCAAAATGTCATTGTACATTAGTGGTTTAGTTAGTTACGGTTCTCAGTAATATCTGGATATTTAGTTCACAATATAAAAAAAAAAAAAAAAAAAAAAACTCAAACAGGTAACGCTTTAGTTTAAGGACCACATATTAAAGGTGCATGGACACTGTGTAACTTTTCTGGTGGACGGCCTGCCATTTGCTTGAGAAATTACTGTTTTGCCTGGATTATAACACAACAATAACAGAATAATCATAAAGGAGAAGCAAGCCTGCACATGATAAGAATTCACGTTTAAGATTTTTTTAAGCACCTGTAATACAAGCATCATGAATTTTGCACTTCCGGTCATTGTGCAATACGTACTGGGAAGGATTTTCCAAAAAAAGTGAGCATCAATCCGCCATGTTTGATTTCCCAGTGGGATGCGTCTATTGACAAAGTCAATCTTTTCAAGTCTTTTGAACCATATCACTTTTGTTTCTGGTTCTGATATTGTCATATTTTAGTTTTGGGATTCAGACATCGTAATTGTGTGGTTGTTGGATCCTAACAGCGGAAAATGGGCACTGGAACTCCATAAATGCAAAAGAGAATCAGATGTGTGACTGCAAACCTCCCTTCAAACTGTTTCCCTTCCCAACGGAATTGAAAAACAGTGAAAGGCGAAGACAATGGGCAGGATTGATCCACAGGAAGGACCAATAAGGAAGCCTTTGTCTAAGAAATCATCCTGAGTTTGCAGGGAACATTTTGTAAGTGGAGTGCTCACTTTTTCGGAGGATCCTTCCCAGTATGAGTTGTGCGTTGAACAGAAGTCCAAAATTCGTGATGCATGTATTGAACAAATGCAAGGGAGATATGTTTAATGTCCTACTGTGGAATATTCAAGGCAAAGAAATAACATCTGCATGGAGACAAGCATGTGGCGGACCCTAACCAGAAGTTACACAGTGCAGTTTTAATGGTTAGCTAATAGTTAAAAGTCTAAGTCCAGGATTCAGCATTCAGTGATTAGTTAGTTTTGTCCCATTAAAGCAGGTGTTACTACATTAACCATTATCATAGTAAGATTGGCCAAGTCTTACATAAATGTATCAAAAAGGGTTAAATAACCACTAACTATGTCTATTCATGTTTAGTCAGCAGCCAATATGTGGACCTTAAAGCACATTGTGTAACTTTTCCGGTGTATTGTCTGTCAAATACTTTTCTCCATGGAAATGTTATTGCTTTGTCTGGAATGTTCCACAGTATGGCGTTAAACTTTTCTATCTTCATAAAGACCAAACCAGACCAAGTTACAGGTCAGATCTGTGGAGAGGCGACCCCGCTCCATTAGAATGCCTGTTTTTCTAGGTATTTTTGAGAAGTAAAACCACCTGTAATTAAATAAATGCAAATTAGAGCTGTTTAAAGTCATACGGAACATTCCAGGCAGAGCAATGACGTATCCATAGAAACAAGCAGGTGACGGACCCCCCCAACCAAAAAGTTACTACAGTGTCACACAAAATTCAGATTACGTCCAGTGTTAAAAGTTTCACAATTATCCAGTGACATTTTTGCAAAGTTGAAATGATAAAGAAATGTAAGATTCGTTAAAAACAATAAGTAGAAATAGACTAATACTGCGATGGTAGGACACAGCGAACATAAAGAGAACATGTTTTGGGGAGTTCTTCATTACAAAAAGGGGTCAGCAACATTCTATGCAGTGGCAGAGTGGTTAGCATTTCTACCGCACAGTCAAACTAATGCAAGTCGGTGTTTCATATATTACTATTGTAGTGTATCCCTACTCATATCATATATAAGTTTGATCAATATGCCTTAAAGAGACTCTGATTGTAAACTCAGCTCTTAAGGTCAAACTGAGACCAGTGTATGCTTAAGCGTTTTTATCGTCCTAAACAAGGAAGTGTGCCATTAGTATGCTAGTTGCTGTTAGAATTACTGTGACGACAAAAGTCCACTCTGGTCAATAGTTGTGAAAAGTTCTAAACTCACTGTGGTGAATAAATAGAATCCTAAGAATTCATTATGAAAGATTTCGGGCCACAGCAAACTATTTAAGATGAACCTAGTTCTGCTTTTCATGTTTTGAAGACAGTAAAAATCAGGTACAGGGCCTTTAAGTGTTAAATAAACGTTGTCTAGAATTGGCACAGACATAGAATTAAGTGTGAAGCAATTTTGCAAAAGTCTAAGAGATTACAATAGCCCAGTTGAACAGCTGTGTCCAAATTCACATATGTAGAAATGTTAGTGTGTCGACTTTAACCTCTAAGATAAACAGTAAGTCGTGTCTGAGGGAGTTTTGAAGCTCGTGGTGCAGTGTATCTACAGTCAACAGGAGTCATAGTGAGTATAAGGAGTGATTGGGCCTGTTAGTGGAGAAAGCTTAAGAATAGTTGTAGAAAGGCTGCTCGTCAGGTCTGAAACCGTACGCTGTGACTGGTCGCCCCGGAGACGAGGTGGTCTGGTCAAACACGTCTGGACCATCCCTGGAACACAAATCCATATTTATGAAACGTGAAGTTGGTTTAATGTTGCAAATGATGCAAACCGTCTCTAACCATAGTAAAAAATACACTGGAACTGCTCATCAGTGATGGAAGGTAAAAGTAAAAGTACTATAACATTTTTACTTCACTTGAGTAAAATTTACAATGGATACTTTATAGTTCTACAACATTTTAGAGCAGATATCTGTACTTTCTACACAACAAACAGGTTTCACTCATCCTGACCCGAGGTGCAGGTCTCCATTGGTCGGCTGAAAATCTCCAAAGAAATCTGGGCTGACCGAGCCGTCTCCTGGAGTTATCCCATCTGCACAGACATATGGATTATTTCTGTAGTCAATTTAGAATTTCAGAGCAAAGTTTCATTGGTGACTGAAGACTTCTAAAAAGAAAATAGTAAGAACCAAGTCTATGCTACTGTCTTTGTTATGAAAATTTTTGTTTGTTTGTGTTTCAGAGACTGTAGAGTTCAGATTATTATCAATATAATCATATATCTTATAAAATGAAACATTTTATCCAAATACAATTCTGATTATTTTTTATAATTCGATTAATCATTGCAATTCCATTCTTAATTCAAAAGCAGATTCAAAAGCAGTTAAAAAAATAAAAGGTTTCAGTGTTTTTCCAAGTGTGTCACATACCTGCGCTGTAGAAGAGGTCCGTGCGGTCGTTGTCGTTGTCGTTGTCATAGAGATAAGGTTCACACTCGTCCACTTGCCGACTCTCCACCATCTCTAACCACTGGTTGTTGTGGAAACGGAACTTCTCCGACTGGATCTTCCTGCCCCACTCCTCATCGTACTCCTGCAGGTAAAGCAAGTGGTTCAAACTTCATTTCAGTACTAATAGACTCATTACATATACAGACACCACAATGACAATAAAAAACACTCTTTATTTTAAACAACAGAATGTCACTTTCAGCATTAAATCAATAGTACTTTCTTTTATATCCCATGTGGTCTTATATGTGTGTAGTCCCTCAGTAATCCAGGTACGTTCACAGTGTCCATGTGTGAATACTAGTCTATGTGCTCTTATACTTGTTCAGATACAGCTCAAGATCATTCTAAAAACATTCAGGAAAGGTTCATTCTGTCCTGTGAATGTGATTTATTTAGTACCAAAACCTGTTCAAATGAGTTTCGATACTAGTTTTAGTATTGATTAGTGTCTGATTTTCAATACTTTTGACAACCATAAGTATTTGTGTGTTGCATCTGAGTATATGTGTTGTACTTACAGCGATGATGTCCAGCGTGTTGTCACAGACTTTCCTGATCTCAGCGTTCTTGTCGTGCATCAGGTCGATCAGATAAGCAGGAGCCTCTGAGAGCACAGTTAGGGAAGAACAGATCTCCACCATGCTTCAGGTTTATTTCTACTTCCATTTCATTGTACATTTTACCTTTGGACATGATTTTAAAAAGCGGGTATTTCAATTCTATGGTATTAATTACTCACACACAGTTAGTCAAGGATACGTGTGTCTTTGATGATGACGTCTCGTGTGGCCTGGTGAAAGACCATCTGATAAAAGACGTACACGATCTGACACACAAACTCATCGTCCTCCTGTTGGGCTGCACAAAGGAATAAAAAAAAACAAAAAAAACATTTAATATCAATATTTCTAAACTCTAAAACCCCCTGACCAAAGAACAGGCTGTCTCACCGTTCAGTAACTCTATTAGCGCCGGGATGATGCCGGATTTGGCCAACATGGCGGCACAGGCGTCGTCCATGGAAACCGTTCCAATCATGATCACCACCTCCAGGATCAGATCATCTTCAGCAGAGCCTGAAAACAAGAAGAAAAACAAAGAAAATAAATATATAACGTTCTGGATTACAGATTATCTGGAAGCAATTTGTAATGGATGTAACGTAAACCCAGGAAGACATGGAATTCTGAGTTTATATATACACTATAATGATTACTAATGCTCTGTCTGTGTTTTGGTTTTGCATTGCACATATTTAAAAATAAGAAAGGCGTGTCAATAGGGATGTAACAAAAAACAAAATATCGTAATATTGTATTATCAACAGTCTCACAATAATATCACGGGCTGTCACAATATATCGAATTACAAGTTTCTTTGCTTAAATTCATGGTTTTATAGTAGTAACAGCTTATAAACATGGGGAACTACATATCCCATGATTCATTTTAGCGCAGACAGCATGAAGAAATATGTTTTTTACTCAAATTCTTGAGATTTTAACAGGAATAATTCACACCAAAATCTTGTCCAGGTATTTTAAAAGCAAAAAAGTGTCCCATCTACAATTATATCAGCATCTCCAAAATATTGCAGTAAATATCGTACCGTGCGATGCATATCCTGATAATATCGTACCGAGAGATTTGGATATCGTTACAATAATGAAAACGAAATTGTATTTTGCAGTAACATTTGATTTTTGCACTTTTGTTTTAAAGATGCACTACAAACTTCTCTGGTGTTCCCATAGAGATGTCACTGCTTTGCCAAGAATGTTCCACAGTACAATTCTTATAGATCTCCATAGAGAAATGAAGTAGGTGACACAACCAGGTTACAGGTCAAATCTGTGGAGAGGCAACCTTGCTCATTATCAGAATCCAAGTCTTCCAAGGTAGTTTTAACAATAAAAACACCTGTAAGTTCATTAGTCCAATGTAGATATTTTTCACGCTATATTGCAAGAGTGCTCACACTTTTTCAGCATGCGAGCTACTTACAAAATGACCAAGTCAAAATGATCTACCTAATACAAAGCAAAGCAAACTGCACTGAAACACTCTGTGCCCCCTTTTTGGACCCTCACCCACAGTTTGAGAACCCCATCTTTAAGAGAACTTCCTCTGGCACTTTACACAAAACTGTAAAAAAAGTGAAGGAAGTAGGTAAGATTTTTAAACCTGTTTTTTAAAGTTCCAAACTGGAGTTGCATTCTTTTCTGGTTTTGCAGTGATATTTACCAGCCTCTGCACGTTTATCAAACCAAACGCACATCGTGACAAACAAAGATGCATTTGTGCATCTGTGCAAACTTCAGCCAAATGTGGCAGTAGGTCTGTTCTGTAGATCTGCTCTATGCTGTAGACCTGCTTTGTGCCAACACTGGAACACAAATTTAGACTGGTTTTTGCTTCACGTTTGGTCTTGCTCTTCTAATCAGCCGCACTGTGGGAGGGGCTTGTGTTCGCTGTACGCAGGAAGGAGTGAGAGCGGGAAAAGGCGAGGGGCAGCGTGCTGACGTGAGGCAGATGGACAGGTAGGATGTTTAGGAAGTTGAACCTGCCCTGTGATGCACGCTGGTACACGAGGGCACACGCTGTCGCAGACGAGCCGTGCATAGGGAGCGTGTGTGTTTGTGATGTGCCGTAGAGTCTCCGCGGGTTTCAAATGAGCGCACAGGCTGCACTGAGACGCCCCACACGCTCCTGCACCCCGCTACAAGTTTATTACCAACAGCAGCGGCCGTAATGAAATATGATCACACTTGTTGAGTGTCAGACCTCGAGTGAGAGACAAGACCGAGTCCAAACGCGATCGAGTCCGAGAAGAGTACTAAGACACGGCGATCTATCCACATGACCTTGGTGATCGACTGGTAGATCGCGATCGACGTATAGAGCACCCCTGCTATATTGTGTAAGATTCCAGGCAAAGTAGCAACATCCTCATGATAACAAGCAAATGGTGAATATCTCTACCAGAAAAGTTACATAATGCATTCATTCTGCGATATTCTATTTTGGATCTGATTGTGAAATGACTGACTTAAAAGAAAAGGTTTAGAGCACGGATGTCCAACCTTTTGGACTTGGTGAGCTACCGTTACAAAACAAAAATGCAGGAGAGCTATTCATTTTAGCAGTCACACGAAATTCAGTCAATACAAGAGGGCAAGTCTTACGTGTTGTATAGTTAGATGCCTATACAGGATTCCCAGTCTTTTTCACTGACAAAATTTCAAAACTTTTCCATGACTTTTTCATGAGCTAAAGTGCATTTTCCATGACTTTACGGCACCTACGTTTGTAGAATTTATCAGACTTTTAGGGCTAAATATGAAATGTTAACCCTTTCCACTCACCTTATGGTTTGGGATTATAGTTTTTTAACATTCAAAATACTGTCAGTGCATTTATTGTCATCATATGTTTGGAAATAATCATAATAGCCTAATGAGAACTTAACAGAACATTGTAGCTGTGAGAAACCCTGCCTATAAAACATTAAACCATTATCCATTTATTAGTGCATAAAGTTCAAAATAACACATTTACAACAGTAATTAATCAAATTAGAGTCCTTTGGTGAGCTACTTGTAAGGTTGTGGAGAACTACTGGTCACTCCCGAGCTACAGGTTGGAGAGCCCTGGTTTAGAGTGTGTTTTCCACATTTTAAAACTTAAGACTTTCCCTTCCTTTGCATAATACAGGACTGTTGTTTGAATGAGATTACATAGGCTTAAAACATCTAAGTATTCAAGTCTGTACAGCGTGTTCATGATCTGTTACCGGGCTTGAGTCGGTCTTTGAGGTAGGGCACCAGGTTGTATTCCTTGAGCACCAGTTCCCAGTCCAGGTCGGGGATGGTGAGATTGGCCAGAGTCCCCAAACACTCCACCACCCACTCCTCCTCCTCCTCCGCACGGATCTCTGCCGCCAAGTCCCCCACATAATCCTGATGCACACACAAGGTCCAGGTTATGCCATTACATTCATAATAGGTTTGTTGTTTATCAAGTGAGAAGGTCTTTTTAAGTCATCAATATCTCTGTCATTTCTGTGCCTGTCCACATGAAACTAAATCTGAGGTCTAAAGATGAGGTACCTGTTCTTCAAACCATGAAAAGAAGCAGCAGGTACTCAACTGTTCCCCGTGACTCTTAACATGTTCATAGCTTTTATAGACCCTTTGTATTCACATGTGTGTATATTTATAAAAAGATAGATCATGAGTTTATCCTGCCTTTTTACATATAAATACTTAAAAATACTAAATTTTCAGATCACTCACTCACTCACTAACTTCTCCTTTCTGTTGTTGTCCCATAAAAATCCTCATAATTATTAATTTTGAGTGTGTATTTAGGTCGATGTAGGTAAATAGAACTTACAATAAATAATGCTTTAGTGGGGCCATCGTGTTGAGAGATATTTCTGATCATCTTCATCAGGAGGCAGTCTTTCATTTTCAGAGCCCTCTTCATCAACATCTTCAGACCGTTGCCTAGAGACAACAAAACCTTTGAATACTAAATCTGAACCACACACTGTATAAAGAAGTGTACTATGGGAGTTCACCCATAGTGTTCGGCTTCAGTCAAATGAACCTCATGATGCTAGCAGTAATAGGGGCAAATTTGGAGCCATATTAGGCAAAGGAATTTATTTACAGACAAGATTGTGAAATAAAAACACCGGGATCATGTAGAATGGGTACCGTATTTTTCGGACAATGAGTCGTACTTTTTTCATGGTTTGGGCGACTTATACTCCAGTGCGACTTATATATATTAAAATTTTCAGACTGACAGTCGCGGGAAGCTCTAGGCTTGTGTATCAGTTTTCTGTGCATGCCACCTGCAGTTCCTGCAGTTCTCCAACTCCCGCGGAGTTGCTCAGAAGTGACACCGTGGATGAAGAATTCAATGGATTTAGTGATTTGGAGTGAGATGGAGAGTTTGGTAAACTTAAGTTATGTTGTTTATGCTATAATTATCTGAATAACTGTTCATATGTTACGTTAACATATTAACGCCTATTCAGTCTGTTGTTCTCTGTTCTATTGTTATTACTAGAACTTGCCTTTCAAGATGAAATGTCAGTTCCTCGTCCCTGATTTTATAAAATAAATTTCCCCCAGAAAGAATGACTTATAGTCCAGTGTGACTTACATGTTTTTTTCTACTTCATTACAACATTTTTTGGCTGGTGCGACTTATACTCCGGAGCCACTTATAGTCTGAAAAATACAGTACTTACAGAGTGGGGTGACAATTTTCCCATATAAAGTCAATTGAAATTGGAGTCAATAGAGCGAGAAGCGCCTCCATGAACACTTCCTATTTGGAACGTGGCAACCACCGGGTTAACCATGTCCATTTACAGTCTATGGTCTGTATATGACAGACAGTTTACCTTCACACATGAGTTGTGCGTTCCTCTTGTTGGCTGCCAGGTTGATGCAGATGGAGATGAGTTCGATTTCAAACTCCTCCTCTCCATGTTCGTACAGCATCTGCATGAGCTACACACACGAAGACACGTTTAACACATGGAGCCTTTAAAGTGGACTGTACCAGAGTCATGTGACCCACCTGAGGGATGCAGTCCGTGTACACAAACATCCCCTTAAAGCGGTCGTCCATGCTGATGTGGTACAGGATGCGCATGGCTACCTGCTTGTTGTTCTCATCTCCTGCAAAACACATCAAATCAGGTATAGCATTTAGAATAGAATGAAATAATCCTTGTTCTGTGGAGCTGGTTAGACATTTAATCAAATAAAATAGTGCAAGAAACTGTATAGATTTGAAACTTAACACAACTCATCATTTCAAATTTAAAAAGGAAATCATGACTAAAACTGAGTCACTATCTATATGACCCCAAGGAGAGCGTGAGGGCTATCAAAGTACCTACTTTTTATATAGCATATTGCATCTCATTATACAAATTTCATTTTACAACTTAGAAGTCTCCTGCACATGAAAATGTATACACCTATACTACAAAATAATTCACTATTACTGAACAGGCAACAGGGCTACAAGTTATACAATGTGAAAATAAAATAATAATGTAAAAATAATGCATATTTAACCGCAGTAATTACAATGTGATTGAGATGAGCTCTTAAAAGTCCTATGTTTACACAAAATTTACTCTTGCGAACTTTATGTTATAATGTTTTTACCTCATCAAAAACAGACCTGGAGTTGTGTTTTGTTTCATTCACGCATGTTTGAGTAACTCTTTTTTATTAGTCTGTTACATCTCCAAAGCTCAAAATGCTCTGTTCATCGTGTGATGTCAAGAAGCAGTAGTTTTTAAGTTAACAGCTATGTTTGTTAGCCAGGCTGGCGCCACCTAGTGCCCCTGCTCAATTTCATTTCTCTCCAGCAACTCCAGGTCAGGAATCAAAATACGGTTCGCAAAAACCCCAGAAGTGTAAGTTCTGGGCACCAGCCAATCAGCAAAGAGCCATATATTCTGTATTGTCAACGATTCCTGAGATTGAGAATTTAAAGCCGGAACAAAGAGAATGTTTGGTGAATTTCATCAAGGGGAAAGACGTTATTGCCCTTCTTCTTACGGGATTTGGGAAAAGCTTAATATACCAGTTAGCCCCGTTAGCGGCGCATTACATACGTCACGACCAAATAACAGCAACTGATTAAATGATAAAAAGTACTCGCATACCGTCGAACGAACTAATTCTAACACTGCGAGGTCAGAAGGTTTCCACAAAGTGGAACTGGCCGATGAATTAGGCTAATCTTTTGCCTTTAGTCCAGTAGCGATCAAAAATTCGAGAGCAATTCCTGTATTACCACATGACATCACTAGGTGGAACAGAGTGCTTTCTGTTTGAGCAAAGAAGTCATCCTAAATGTGCAGGGTTATGTATTAAACATGTGTGAATGAAACAAATCACAACTCCAGGTCTGTTTTTGATGAAGAAACAGCATAAATGGATCAGAAAATAACGTAATATGGGCCTTTTAAAGGTTTATGTTTACATATTGATTCTTACCCAGGAGCGCGGTGAGTTTGGGCAGCAGTCCCACCTCCACCATCTTGGCTCTGAGTCCGGAGTCAAAGGATAGGTTGAGGAGCAATCGGAGCGTGAGGTTCAGGAGGTCCTCATGTTCACAGGGGACCAGACGAGACAGCTTCTCTACCGTGTCCAACTCCGCCTGCAATACACAAGTCACACATACTTAGACTGAGTTGAAACTACAACAGGTGAGAGGGTTCGGCCTGTTAAATAAATCCCTCTCACATAATATTATAGTCACGAGATAACTTTTGACAACTTTAGCCAAGTTCTTTATATTGCTCCACAGACTTGACCTGCTCATCTCCATGTCAATAGGCTATAGGCTTTAATGTTTTATATAATTTTGATAATAGCAACAGAAAATGTATCTGCAGTTACTCCTTAAAATCTCTAGTCCCAGTCTCACCATGTCATTCTTGTTCTCCAGGAAGATGGAGAGCTTTTTGAGGAAGGACACCACGAGAACCAGCAGCTCCTCGTCATCCCGCTCCAGAACTTTGACCAGAAGACCCACGATATTTTTATTTCTCATCTTCAGCTCTGTCCTCGTGTCCTCCGCCAAGTTCAGCAACAGATACAGAGACACTAAGGGGATTCAAATATGGATACTTATAATAATATTGTATTTATCTGAAATACAGTTTTACACTAAACACCAACCTCTTAGCAGCTGTTCCTGTTTGGCCAATAGGCTCTGGTATTTTCTTGTGGCTTTGTCTTGGTCTCGTCGAAGGGAACCGTTTTCTGGAGCTGACTCACGTAAACCAATGCAGTTAAGGAGAATTTTGAGACATACGAATTAGCCCAATTTTGAACTACTATGTAATACCTTGTTAACGTTAACAAGTTTCAAAAATGTATACTTTGAAAACACCATTAAGGGTTTAAAAAAAATTCACAACTTGTACACTATATCCTTGATATTTAAAAAAAAAAAAAAACTTTAACTGTGAATTGTTTTCTGTTGTATTGCACATTGTAACAACTCCAGGACTAATAATATTTGAGAAAAGACTAAAATATTAACTGATGCACCAATACAAGAATCCCATGGAATTCAGTGCAAATACCAGTGCAACAAAATTTCTCTATAAATATTTTGTTCTTTGCGAAGTATATTCCAACATCTAAGTCACTGCAGCCATTGCAATTTGATAACTGCACCAACTAAAATTGTGATTTTGATTCAATTACAATATTTTGTGCAGCCTTAAACCTGAAAACCGAGCCTGATTTATGTAAAAGGTTAGAAAATATAATAACTATGCAATATGTCGGTAAGTTACTATCACTTTTGGATCATATATAAGGCCAGTTATTATGAGATATTGGAGAAAATAGTTAATACTCCATATCAGTCAGAGGAATATGAAATTAGCCTAAAGTAAAAGGTATAAAAAGGATATAGGCTTTGTTCTTCTTACGCAGCTCCTCTCTCCACACATCATGTCTCTTCAGTTCATGTTCTATGACACTCATGCACAACGCGCCCACCTTATAATGACTCACCACTCCATGAAACTGTGAGAAACTGAGAGAAAAACACAGTTAGGGTCCATAAAATAATCAAACATTCATAGTAGTCAGTTATACTTGCTAGAGTAACTTAAAGAAATTGTACTTTTCAAGCAGCTTTTACTCCTACTTGAGTAATATTCATTTTGAAGTAACGTTAAACTTACTCAAGTAACTCAAACAATATTTGGCTACTCTACCCACCTCTAAAAAAAAAAAATAAAAGAATGCAATTCATGATTTCCTTTTAACTATGACAGCTACAAACCTGGAAAAACAGAAGAAGACGTAGATAATGATTGTTGCCAGCTCCACACTTTGCTTCCAGTCTTCTCTCAAAACTCTGGCCAAAGCCCCAAGAGCAGCCTCTGTGCAGAAAAACATAATACAAACAAATGCGTTAATATCTGGGGGGGGGGAATCATATTGTATTGATTTGTTACAGAGCTCGGGATTGTGATGTCACACAACATAGAATATGCAGAGAGCCTAGTGTTAAACCAATGGAGATTTTAAGATGAGAATAGATAAATACTAAACTTTGTGTTCATTCAAATGTTTTCTGACACTATAGAGTGACAGACGTATTTACCAGAAGTGACCCAGCAGTTTATGGACTAGTCCCACTGCGCTTTTCTTTACTTTTGACATTGTTTTGGCTAATATACAGTATCTTTACAAGAGTTTTGACCTACTCCCACAAACATGGCAGATTTCCATGCTAGAAACTGTTTTTTTCCATGTTTTTTTTCTCTAACTCTATTATGTGAACTCATACCATTGTGTAGCAGCTCCTCCAGGTTGTCAGGGTTACGGGCCAGCTGCAGAATAAGGGCGGAGCCTCGGATCTTCTCTGGGATGCCTTCATACAGAAGTTCAACATACTCCTCAACTTTAGTTATACTGGCTTCTTCATTCAACTACAAAAAGAGATGTTTTGTTTACTTTTGATGCAACATATAGTAGGTCCACTTGCAAGTTAATAGATGATAAAATATTACCTCCATCCCTTCAAATGGTGCCAGTTCTCTGGGCTTTGCAACCCTTTTTTCTTTCTTTTCCCCTGCATACAGACAACATGTAAGAATCACTCACAATTAGACTAAAGTTTTCTACCTCTAAACTACATCATCGAGTAAATGACTATGGTGACAATATGATAGTTCCAGACCTCGTCCTTCCACTGGGGAACTTTTGCGGTTCTGCAGATAGTACAGCAGCTGCTCCACCTGCGGCAGGCGTGAGGCTGGGATCAGTTTGCACTCCTCCACCACCTTTTTAGCCAGCGCCCCCACATCTGTGCTCGGGCTCAGACTCTTCACACGGATACTACAGAAAGACACAGGTAAACAGAAATCCATTTTTGTTCTTTAATTAAACATTTAAATTGTTAAAATTATCAAAACAATATAGAAAACACTAAATTGAAATTCCATGGCCATATGATTGATGCAAAACAACCTTGGTCCACTAGAAAAAAGGAAAACAAATTTTAGCTGAAAAGGAAATACTGTTATGTCGACTTATGTGTAAATAATTGAGTGCAGTAGTCTACTGTTAATCATGTGTGGTATTGCTGCTTTAGTCTATGGGCTGAGCTTAAAAGGGACACAACACTGAAATTAAATATTCATAAACAATTTAATGGTTAGTCAATATATTGCACCAGGTGTAATGTATCATAACAATGCTATACTGTAGCCTTCTATTTCTCACGACTAGAATTCAGAAAACGCACAAATGAAGCTCTGCTTTAGCAAAGTACAAAATCTCACATTTTCTGTCCCTCCTTGCGCTCGCCGAGCATTGGCCCTCCGTCCTCTCCCAGGATGGATGCCTCCACCTCATAGTGCACCACGAGCGCCTTCTCTGTGGGGTGGACATCCAGACTGCCAGCAGTCACTTTGCTGTGAAACAAAACACACAGTAAGGCAAGATACAAGACAGCTATACCTGCTTAAATGAGGCAAACACAAAATAATGGCTGAATGTGTTTTTATAAATACTTAGAGTACAGACTACGTCTAAAAGGATTCTTCTTTGGGATATTTCATATGAAAATAAATTAAATAAAATAATCTCCCATCTGTGAGGAACAAAGGTTTAAGTTTTGTCTGCAAATTACTACTCCAACTACTTAACGAGGGCATCTACTTTTAATAACTCTTAGTTTCACATAGATTGACAAGATAATGCCTGGCTGCCACAGTGGATTGATATTCCATTGGACACATCAAAATGTGACACGCCCAGATGCTAGCTCTGTTTTTAAAGGTCCGCTGCTACATGCTAACCTCAAATGACACATGTTTAATAAAACGTGAATAAGCAGATGAATGCACAGTTCACTTATTCACTATGATTATATGACTTACATTTGTGTGAAATATCAAGGGGCAAGTTTAATGCCATCTTTTTAAAGCTAGCTTTGATGCTAGCTGATGAACAGAAAACCGTTGCAGATCTTGCAGCTAAAAGTTTAGTTAGATGTCCAGTCTTGAATCGTAATTATTGTTTCGTTTTCATGTTATTATGTATTTATTAATGGTTCGGGTGTCATTTATGTCAAAACACGAGATAAGAGAATGCAGATTGGTAAAGTATGAGCCGCTCTCGTTTTCAATGCTAATATGGGAAGTATCTATGGAGCCACTTGATTTAGCATCATATTATAACATGCTTTGTAAACTGTTAAACCAAAAACTGTGAGATGTTATGTATAGTCTAAATTACACGTTATGTCTGATACTTACAGTAAATTATGAATATGATCTAACAGTGGAGCCATTTAGTCATGACCTGTGAGAGATAGCAGCAGAAGCTAGCAGAAGCTAGCAGGAGACGCGGCTTTAAAAACACATCTGTATAAAAGCGTAACATTACCGTTTGAGGTAGCGTGCGTCATCCTGCATCTTCCTCTCAGTGTCTTAACAAGGTTCCGAGCTGATTTGATCCGTTAACACCAAACAAATTCCCGAAATCACGGCCAGAAGAAAAAAGAATCGTGTTGTAAACCAAGTCCCTGCGGAGATGGACTACAAACATGGCCGCCCCGTGTTCTTCTTCTACTTCTACAGCGTGAATCTATCTGCGTCTCATTACTGCCATTACTGCCACTCAGTGAACCTACCGTCAAACCACCAAACCATCAAAATGTGACAACATTAAGAAAGAAAAAATCAGGGAGTTATATGTATTTATTGTAACAGTTTACGGCAGTATTCTTAATCACAGCATAGTATTTATATGACTAGTATTTTTATGTACCAACTCTTAAATTGGTATTCATTATACAAAGCCTTAAGCTTAAATGCTGCACAAATGCATCCATCATTACTGCATATTCAGCTATCAGTGTTATCTATGTATAAATTATATCAACAATTATGCACACAATTATTTGTCTAACCAGCCAGTCCCTTCTACATTCAGTTAGTTTCCAGTTCGGACCATAGAGTGTGAAAACCTCCACTCTACCTTGAGATGATCCAACCACAGCCACCAGTTTATATAATGAGTTTCTCAAATGCTGAAGACACCCCTTCTCAAAAATTCTCGTACCAGTCGGAACAAAATATATAACTTATTTTACTTTATTTCCCTAAACCGCCATGTGCATCTCTGATTGGATAAAGCACCTGTCAGTCACACCTAATAAACATCAGGGGGACAGGATATGGTTCCAGACCCACTTGTCTTTGTAAAATTGTGGTTTTGGCTGGTCAAATAACATAATTATAGCACATAAGGAGATCTCCCAAATGTCTAGTTTGCCTAAACATTCAAACTGATTATAAATACTGGCCTAGTTTTCAACAAAATGCATTATTCTCGAGATAACAAAACAAACACAATATGATTGAAATGATAACTGAGCTGCAAATCTTCATATTATTTGAGCCTTTTTCTATTCGACCTGCTCTGCTTCCTGGCTCTCCACACAGGCCTTGAACTCCTTCTCTGGCAGCAGGCCGTACTCATTGAGAAAGGCCTCCACGTCTGTAGCGAAGAACTCCTCTGCAAAGTGTTTAGTGACCGCCACAAAGTTTCCCAGCAGCTCCCCAGCCTTGTACACCAACAGGGCTGGAAGCACCTGAGACAGTTACACTTTAGTAAGGATCTGAAATGAAACTTGTGATGAATGAATGAATAAATTATTATGAACTAAATGTTGTCATGATACCATAATTTTAAACTTGATTTCGATATTAAGAAATCCAATACCAGAATTACGCTGTCTCATGTTTAGAAAAGCAAATTTGTCGTGGTAATGTGATTTTTTGCAGTATTTACAGCTGCTCAAAAGAGTATCTAGTTTTGAAATTAGTTTTAGTATGATTTACTTAGATTTTTGATACCCTATTATGAATAAATTTGAGGTATACAACTGCAGTAGTGCCCACTAAAGTAGCCTTAATTTTCACCAACTATTGTTAGTATTAAAGATACTATATGTAACATTTATGGTGGAAGGTTTGCCACCTGCTCGTCTGCTTTGAGCCTCTAGTCATTTCATGTCTTTAAAGCAAAGTACAAAATATATCTTAGATTTTTAGAATTCTTAGAATTTATTTGACTTTTACACTAAAATGTACTTAACATGTCATGGTATATTTCTATATGAGTATTTATATAAGAGTTGTAGAAATGTAATTTTTTCCTTTTTAAATGTCTGGTCAAGATCTTAGTGTGAATCATTACAGTCAGAACAGAAAGAATTCAGATTTAAAAGTGCTAAACATTTATTTTGTCATGAAGGGTCATGTTCTTTGTAGTTCCCTCTGTATTGTAGTGTATAGTACTGCATTGTACTGTATATTACTGTATTGTACTGTATATTACTGTAGTACATTTGATGACCCTATCTCACAGTACGTCAGTTACATTCAAAATAAACAGAAGTGGGACAAACATGTTCCAGTTCGTTCCTTTAAAATTAAGTACACCAGGGAGATGTTACTCTGGCTGGAATATTTATCTTAATGGAGACTAGCAGGTGATGCCATCAGGTTACAGGTCAGGTTATAGGTCAAATTTGCTATGGAGTACACTACTTTTAATGTATGGGAGATAGATTATAACATTGAAGTAACTCATAAAGCAGAGATTTTGTTCACTCACATCTGAGGAGAAGCGCTCGGCTGCTCCTGTCGCCACGGCGTCAATGCGACAAAACTTTACATTGGGATATTCCACAACCAGACAGTCCAGGCACGAGTTCATCTGCTCACACTCTGAGAGAAGAAGCAAAACAAACCTGTAATGCTCTCCGTCTAAAAACATGACAAATGAAGTTATAAATCATAGTTAGAGTAACATTTATTTTCATCCCAGTAGCATCCAAAAACCAGCGATATTATCTTTTATCATCGATATTTACTTAAAGGTGGACTGTGTGACTTTATATCTGAGGGTCCGGTACCTGTGTGTGTCTATGGATACGTCATTGCTCTGCCTGGAATTTCCCACAGTATAACTTTAAACTACTCTACTTTACATTTATTCAATTACAGGTGGATTTATAGCTCAAAAACTCCTAGAAAAACAACATTCTGACTGTGAGCGGGGTCGCCTCTCTACAGATCTGACCTGTAACTTGGTCTGGTTTGGTCTCCATGAAGATACAAAGGTTTAATGCCATACTGTGAAACATTCCAGACAAAGCAGTAACATGTCCATGGAGAAAAGCCAGAAAAGTTAGAAAATGCGCCTCTTTTGAAAGCACAGACCCGTGATTCCTTGCTGATACACGTGCACCACCACTAGAGTGCGCTGGTTCTCCTTCTCGATGACCTCCAGGAAGGCTTCCCCGCTCTCCAGCTCCTGCACCGTCTCAAACTGGGGCCCAAAGCTGAGGCGCTCGTGCATCTCCTGCATGCACTGCTTCCTGTATCTCTTCAGACTGTGCTCGTCCTCCTCCTGAAGCAGCTCGTACTCCTGCACACTCATCTGGAAACGACACACACACACTTCACTACAGTTTAAAATGGGTTTATTTAAAGGGGCATTGCGCAACTTTTCTGGTGGAGGGTCCGTCACCTGCTTGTCTTTGTGAAAATGTTATTGCTTTGTTTAGAATGTTCCACAGTAAAGATTAAACCTATCTATCTCAAGGGACACAACTATAGGCTACATTACAGGTCAGATCTATGGAAAGGTGACCCTATTCACTGAGAGAATTATTTTATTTCTGAGCAATAGAAACACTACTAATGCTACATAGATGTGTTTAATGTCATACCATGAAACATTCCAGGCAAAACAGTAAGATCTCCATGGAGACAAGCAGGTGATGGACCAGAAAAGTTGCTCAGTGCACCTTTAAAATAGGTTAGGTTTAAGGTTGTGTCAAAGGACTTTGAGAGCCAAGTACCCAGAGGTGGGACTTGTGAGTCGTGACTTGGACTCGAGTCAGACTTTAGTCAATGTTGTTAGGACTTGAGACTAAAATGGACTAAGACTTGGGACTTGAGTCGGACTTGAGGCATGTGAGAAGACTTGATGCTTCTCTTAAATATATATGTTTTTAGAAAATACTTTTCTCTTTTCTGTTGATAAATGCAGTGTTTAATTTTACTCCTTTTTTATATAGAGACTATACCAGGTCACTCGTTCTATTAACAGAGCTGAGACCAAGTCACTGTTTTGCAAGTCTCAAGTAAGTCTCAAATCTTTGACCTCAAGTCCGAGTCAAGTCCCTAGTCAAAAACAGACAAGCCCAAGTCAAGTCCAAGTCATCTGGTTTGAGCTTCAAGTCATTTCAAGTCCTTAAACCAAAGTACTGCTTAGATTTTTAGAATTTTTAGAATTTATGACTTTTAAACTAAATTGTACTTAACATGTCATGGTATATTTCTATATGAGTATTTATATAAGAGTTGTAGAAATGTCATTTTTTCCTTTTTAAATTTCTTGTCAGGATCTTAGTGTAAATCATAACAGTCAGAGTAGAAAGACTTCAGATTTAAAAGTGCTAAACATTTATTTTGTCATGAAAGATCATATTCTCTGTAGTTCCCTCTGTTTTACTGTATTGTACTTTATATTACTGTAGTACATTTGATGACACCATCTCACAGTACTTCAGTTACATTCAAAGTAACAAACAGAAGTGGGACAAACATGTTCCAGTTTGTTCCTTTAAAATTCAGCACTGCATTTATCAACAGAAAAGAGAAAATTATTTTATAAAACATATATATTTAGGAGAAACATCAAGTCTTCTCAAGTCACAGGCCTCAAGTCCGAATCAAGTCCCAAGTCACTGTCCTTCAAGTCCAAGTCGAGTCCCAAGTCTTTGTCCATTTTATCAAGTCAAGTCTCAAGTCCTAGAAATAGTGCCTCAAGTCTGACTTGAGTCTAAGTCACGACTTGCAAGTCCCACCTCTGTCTATTAACAATGAGAATAAAATGTTTGTAATTTGTAAGTGTGCTCATATTTCTTGTAAGAATAATTGCAAAAACAAGCAATCGAACCTTAACCCCCCCAATCATTTCTACACTCTCTTGGGTAAACTACACGGGACAGAAGACGTCTTTAACAATGATGAACCTTATTTGTTCTGTGTGTTAACCTGCCTAAAACACTGTCATGTAACTTGCACATGTTGTAAACTGTGTTGTGTGTTGTGTCTGGGTTTGTGTAAGAGGCTGCGGGGACCTTTCTGTTGGCTCTGTCCTTGTCGTCTTCTCGGGGGGTGGACATCTGTCGCAGCAGTTCTTTCTTCTTCTGGGGAACAGTTTGGTCCACGCTGTCCAACTTAAACCTCCTCCAGTCTGTGATGACGCCTTTTGGACCTGTGTGCACAAACATGGTCATGTCCAGGAACCGAATTATTTAAAAAATCATTTCATGAAGCTCCATGGATCATATGACTGTTAGGACTGTTAATGTAGCTTTGGAACAGTTTCATCTCCTCATGGATGGACAAAAAATGATATTGCCCATCTGAGACCAAAAAATAAAACTTGTCTGCAGCAAAAAAAAAATTAGCATAATAATTTAACTACATGTTTTTCATTTATTTGATTTCATCTTGTTTTTTGTTTTTTGTTTTTTTTACCTCTGTGGTTGCTATATGAAATTCAGGCTTTGTTTTTTTTGTTTTTTTGTTTTTTTCTTGACAGACAAATTTTATTTGCATGTAATTGAGAGCACGTGAGATAAAAAAAAAAAATAAAAATACTACCGTTATTTAAATTTAATACGTTTACTCTATTTATTTATGGTTTTAGGGAAGAGAGTTGCCCTAAGCACTAACGTTATAGCTCCAAACACATTTGTCAGTAATTTTGGAAGAGTAAATATCTTAATATCTTAAAAAAGATTCTCTCCAAGAAGTCCTACATGAAGAAACTGGCACAGTCCAAAGTGTTCCCAAGTCAAATACAGGCAAGTCCAAGTTGAGTCTCGAGTCACTGGCCCATAAGTCCAAGTCAAGTCCAAGTCGTCTGTTTTGAGCTTCAAGTCATTTCAAGTCTTTAAACCAAAAAAGTACCAATTACAACTTTGGTTTTTGTAGTTTATATGAATTTCAAACTAAATTGTTCTTAAAAAGTCATGGTATATTTATATACCAGTATTTATATAAGAGTTGTAGAAATGCTAATTTTTTCCTTTTTAAATGTTGGGACAGAAGACTGAAGCAACCTACAAGTGTCACACATTTATGGAACTTCTGCAACAGACTTGGGAAGAACTTATCGAAGAATATTTGATTTGTATTGTAGAAAGAACGAGCCACGAGTGTGTTCAGCTGTTATATCTGCCAAAGGTGGACACACACATCAATTAAAAGTTTAGAATACATTTTGTTCAACAGTAAACAGTAAAAAAAAAATGAAAAAGTGTGGTGTTCTATAATGTCTAAAGTCCTGTACCAAGACTGAATTTTCTAACTAACCTTGACAATATTACATTCAATTTGATGTTTCATGTGAAACTATCACTACAGAAAAATCACTTCTAAGTCTCATAGAAAGGATATCCATGTTAAAATGCCATATACAGTATATAATCAAATAGTCAAAGTTGTGTTAACCAATGTATTTATTTATTTTGTACTGCGATCTACTTACCAGTGTAGTTTGAAGGTAACTCCTGTTCCTCCTGGATTGGGGCAGACATCTTTAAATGTTTGTAAAAATGTTCAAAACAAACAGCTTTGTCTGGTTTTACACACTCTGGTTAGAAGTGACCCACACTGTTGCTGTCAAGGCCACTTAGTATAAACCCTGTGTTGTTAAGATCAGATTATGTCCACATTAATGCTCTAGAGCCTGACGTACACAGCCGCCTGGACACGATTATGATGCCATGTCATTTTTTGTGCTTAGACTTTCACAAATATTATAAAGGGAAACAATTTGGACACTGAACATCACAGAACAATTCCAAATAATAAATAAGTCATTCCTTGTGGCCAAATATTTAAAATGTCTCCACACAACGACAGCCTGGACCTAGGGATGCACCAGTCCATC